TTTTTCAGTAAAATAACATTTTTTTAAATGGAAACCCCTGTATATTATATTTTTTTCTGTTAAAAAAAAATTTTAAACAAAAAAGCTTACAATAACTTTTCTCCTAGGTTACAAATTGTTGAAGTTATGGCCTCCAATCTGAAACAATTAAATTGTATCGACAAACTTTATTTTCAACATCAACTTATAATCTTACAAAGTACAATAACAATTTTTTTTAAAGAAGATGCTCGAAAACACCACCTTGTTCTTCAATACATTTTTGGGCACGTTTTTCAACTGCTCGAACTGTCTTAAGTATGGTCCTACCATCTATCTGGGTTATCTTTTCCCTAACTGCAGTCTTTAACGCGTCAAGGTTATCGTACCTTCGCTTGTAAATTTGGTTCTTTAAGTAACCCCACAAGAAGTAATCAAGTGGGTTTAGATCTGGTGATCTGGGAGGCCACTGTATTGGGCCATTTGTTCCTATCCACTGATCATTAAAAGTAGTACTTAGAAAATGGTAAGTACCTCTGGAGTTGTGGGCAGGTGCGCCATCTTGCTGAAAATGCAGATGATGTCTACTTATAAGATCCAATTCGTCTAAGAAATTAGTCAGAATTTCTGACATAAATTCCACATATCTTTCACCAGTTAGGGTTCCCTCATAAAAGAACGGGCCAACAATTTTTGAACCAATTATACAGCACCAAACGTTGAAACTGAAACGGACTTGTGGGCCTCTTGGATGTACTAACAAAAGATTTTCTCTTGACCAATAATGGTGGTTTTTTCTATTAAACATTCCAGAATTTGAAAAATTTGATTCATCTGTCCATAAAAAGTACCGAAAGTTATTTACATTTTGGCGACAGAAGCTAAGATACCAATGGCAAAAAACAAGTCTTCTCTCTGGATCCCCTGCCAAAAGCGTTTGAACTGGTCGGTACTTATACGGAATAAATTTGTATTTTTTTAAAATCCTTTGAACAGTACCATAACTGAAATTAGAGTCCTTGAGAATATCTGCTATTGAATTCTCACGATAAGCTTCAAAATATCCAATAACTGCAATTTCCGTGGCCTCGCTTATTATGAATTCTTTTTTTGCCCTTGTTTTAGCAAAAACATTTTCGTTGCCCCTAAATTTTCGATAAAGTCTCAGAAAATATCGTTCATACGGTTGAATGCGAGCGGGATATATTTCACTGTAGTATTCTCTTGCTCTCAAGGAGGATTTTCTGCACACTAAATAGCATTCTAACATATCACACTTTTCTTCATGGGAGAACATTTTTCTTTAAATTAATGACACAATAAAGCTTATAAACAAGTATTTACACTAATGTTTGACATTATTTGATTTTATCATTGTTTTCCAAAGCCTTCTAGTTGCGAGTATGTCCAGTTTAACAATTTGTCGCTTATCTTAATGCTGTCAAATCGCGAACGCCATGTTGTTTTCATAGCCGTCTTAATATTATAATACTGCAAATAATTAAAAATATTTATCGTTATTTTGACTTTATTTTTGACTTTAGCGGAAAAGTCATTATGAACTTTTTTGTTTAAAATTTGATGCTTTAACAGAAAAAAATATAATATACAGGGGTTTCCATTTAAAAAAATGTTATTTTACTGAAAAAAATCAAAATAACGACTCTCAATTGTTTTTTTTTTATTTCTCATTTTTACCAGCGTTAAAAATGCTACTAGTTTGCTAATTCAAACAACTTTGTATTTTCACTAATAACAAAGTTACTAATGGTGGACACTTAATTTGGATAACCCTGTATTGCTTTGAATCTTCATGTAGCTAGAACGTTAAATATATTTATATTCAACGCGAGGGAAATATTGAGACTGTTTACTTGAGTCCGTGTTTTTCAATCTGTTGGTATGGACATGTCACGCCTGTATAAAATCCTTAGCCTCTAGGTAGATCAGAAAGTAAAGCTCAGATTTTGAATGAAATTTTTATAGGTTACTAAATATAGCGAAAAAAAAATATGACAACGACGATGAGTCTTGGAGTGGGCACTTACGGCAGAGTATTCTTCAAAAAACCAATGATCATTGGAAAGTACCTCGTAGATTGCGGGGAAATATAACGCAATATTTTTAACTGTCGAAATTCAGTGTGCGCCTGTCCTCTAAAAACAGGAAATTCTTAAACTCTCTAATTTTTTATTTCGATGTTGTAGCTTTAAAACTTATCCCCTGGTTGCCTCGCTGATTTATTCTATGTTAGATGTGGAAAGAAATACACTTACTGTGTTTCGGCTACCTCTGCGAAAAAGAAAAAACCCACGTTTTCCTAAGTATATACTTTCACTTAACGGAAATGAAACCTTCAAATTTCCTTTAGACTTCAGAAACTTTGAAATCATCAAAATACTCATGTTTCACGTTCAAATCTATCAGACGTTCACATTAATGTAACTGCAAAAACATTCAACATTTGTGTACGTTATTCGAAAATTCTAAAACAGATTTATTGTGTAAGAGCCGTTTTACACACAAGAGAATTACTCCGAAAATTATGGTCATAATTATGCCGAAAATTTTGGCTGTCGTATTACACGTAAAAGAATTCTTGTGAAAATTTTCATGGTCAAAATATAAAACCCGTTCTATAGAATATGCGCGAGAATCGGCGCAGAGGGTTATTTCCGTGCATGTCAATATCAAATGTCAACATCAACAACATAACCTCACTTAACATTTGTGGGTGTGGTCCTGTTCGAGTCGTACGAAGAAGCGTTTATTGTTATTGTTTATTCATACATTCATAATGTCGTGGAATCGGGAAGAAGTTACACTGTTGTTGGAGGAGTACCAAAAATGGCCAAACCTGTACAAGGTGAAGTCACCCAATTACAAAAACAGAAATTTGCGGCGTCAGGCGTTGGATGCGATAGTCCAAGCATGGAGAAGTTTTATAATATTAACCAAGATCTCGATTTCAAAAATAAATTTAAATCAACGACGTCTGTTGTCTTTCCGATTATATTGGACGTCATACCCGTTAAGGTTATGTCCGTTCGAAAATATTACTCTAATGCGCAGGCGTATCGTATGAATTAGTCCGAAATTTTGTTTGCTTGTGTCATACAGGTTGTAGAGAAAAGCTTCAATATTTTTTCCATGCAAATTTTCGGCATAATTATGACCATAATTTTCTGTTGTGTGTAAAACGGCTCTAAAGCAGAGATTAATTGAGTCAATTAACATCAAAAGGTCTACTGATTAGTCAATGGGAGCGTCACTTTTGTCGGGACATCTAGTTTTTAAAGCTAATTGCATATTCTCAAAATCAATGAGTGGAAATCACTCCTGTTTGTCGAGAATTTTGAATATCAACGTTGTCTCTTATCGCCTTTTCCGAATTCAAATTTACCTGAGAATAGGAAACTTAGTTTGACTGATCTATATAGGTTATATACACGTGACGACTTATTTTAAAAGCTCAAACTAACACTAAAAGCACGTGTACAGAATTGCAGGAATTAAAAATAGAGCTTGTTATGTTTATGTTCAAACAAGATATAACAGTTCTATCGGGATAACTACGGTGATTCAAAATTAGCGTCTACGTAATTTCTTTCTAACCGCGAAAATCTTGATCTTTCATCCTTCGACATCCGTTTTCCAAGTTTCCGATACTTTTTGAGCATAGCTGCATATTGTGCTCAAACCTTTTTGGATATATTCATATTTTAAGTTTTATAAAAACTAAATGAGGAATTTTATCCTTCAAATTCCTATTTGACGGACTACAGCTTGAACGGCATGATGGATTTTGACATATGAGGTTTCTCTATATTTGTCTTGACAGTGCGAATGACACTGGCATATCAAAATTTCGTAAAATCAAAATGGAGAATTTTGAACAATCTTTGAATCCTGAGAGGCTACATCAGGGTATTATGTAAACAACCCTAAAAAACGTCAAAAACGTACAGCTACCAAAACGACTTCACAACAAGTGTACAACAGTTTCTACTAATAAATTAACATCTTGTAGAAAAACCTACGTTATGTCCCAAAAAACCTAACCAAATCCGCCAAAATGTCACTTTTTAAGATACGTAATACCCGTGCAGGCTGGATGTATTTCGACATTTTGAGGTGTCCTTAGATTCCGCTTGATCGAATAGTATCTAAAATGTATTACTCTGTCATTCGACATTTTGTATTTTTTAAATTATGTCAGGAGCTGGATTGTTTTGTTTCACAAATACTGTGGAAAACAAAAAAATAATTTCTAACGTTATTGACGAAATTTAATTAAAAACTATTATTGGTGATAGTAAATAATAAAATAATTTCGCAGTTGCTGAGATATAAGAACAAAAATCTTTCAGATCCTCATTTTCCAGTAATTTATTCATTTCGGCTATAAACGTGTGTTGTGTGTTCTATTTGAAAAAAGAAGCAAACATAACGAAGCACCCTCGTATGATAAGGAAGAAATAGATATGGTCAGTGCCATCTGTTGCCTGAGCTGTAGATCATAAAATCACAGCACAATTTCAGATATTGAAAACGTTGTTTAACTTTTAAACCATAGATGGCGCACGTAAAAAAACTTATTGCGTCATCTGTTGAGTACACTTGTAAGCGCAAGCATGCATCTACAACAACAGAAAAGAAATCTGCTTCATTTTAGGGTACAGTTTGGTGGTTGGAATTAAACCCAGAAGAGGACGCGCGAAAAATAATAGTACGGGAAATTGAGATACAATAAATTAAGATACGATATTAAAAATTCGTATAATATTAGGAACCTGGACAAAGCTGTACGCCTTAAAACTGTACATCAAACGGTATAACGATGAAACTATCGATAGTACGTATTTCTTGTCCTGCTATTTATTTTCTGGATTCGAAACCTCCCACTTCCTGTCGTTTTCTAATTTGACCGGAATATTTCTGGTCTGTTCCAGTCGGCACTGCGCGAGAGAGATACTAGACGAATAGCCTTCTAATTTATGAGAAATAGAAAGAGACAGATAATCACATTTTATTCCGTTATATTGGCGTGCCTGACGCTTTTGTAGAGGGCGCTGTTGTTGTCAAGACGCCATCGCACGTTTGCTATTTCCTGAATCGTCCATTTTGAATCCATACGCCTTGTAAGATAGTTGTGGTACCTGTCCAGTTGAAGATTTTTATTATTTTAAGTGAAACTTAACGTGTTAATAGAGCAGGTATATATTTTAATCTACTCCAAAATTGTATTTCTTCATCATCCAAAATAATTGATGCGCTAAAGTTGTGTATATTTTGGTTTCGAGACGTGCGTTTCGTAGCCGGTACACCGGTCAACATCCTCTTGACTCTTGATTCCATTGGTTTTCCGCATCGTTGACCTCTGCGGTCAAAATTCATTCATCTACTGTCTATTTAACTCCAATTTCATTACAGAGACGACCAGTTACCTTCCAGGGCAGTATTTACAGTTTTGGCAAAACGCCTATCTCTAACATCAATTGCGTTTGAATTATAATTTTGTTGATATGCCCAAACTCAAACAAATAATCCCACGTGATTGTTGTAAAATTCATTTTCATTGTTTGATGGACAAATTAGACTAATTATTTTTTGAAGTACAGTTATCTCCAGTTAAGCCAAAGACCATAAGTCAAGACTTCAGGACTAGCTCATTTGTTATGCTGAAGATCACTACTCAATTTGTAGGTGGTAATTTTTGCACATAGTGAAAAATTTTCTTCGGTGCCATTTTGTAGCTCATTATGTCTGAAGTTGATTGAAGTGCTGTAACACATATATTTTAAATAGAATGGCAGATCCAGCAGCAGAAGGAGCTGCAGCACCTGATGCTGGAGCAGCACCTGGCAATGGAGTGTCTGGAGGACCTCCTCAACATGGTGAAAGAGGTGGCTTTCGAGGTCGTGGTGGCAGAGGAGGAGGAGGAGGATTCAGAGGTGGGCCACCTGGTAGAGGAGGAGGAGGATTTAGAGGACGGTAAGATGTTACATCTTAATAATGAAAATAAAACAACTTGATACTCCAAAGAAATCATATGTATTTGCCTAAACCTTGGCTTGGAAAATGTATAGCATATCTACACCAGCAGTTTTTGATTAAATAATTTCAGACCTGATTTTTTGTGTGTTGTTGAAATAAATGGTATTGACATTCGGTAAGCCTTATCAGCAATATTAACATAGTGAAAATTGAAAGAATAGTTAGATTGAAATGTGACTCTAAACTGATGTTTGTTGTCTGATGTCCTGTTATAAATATAAACAAAACATAGTAATGTTATGGCCAAAATGAATTGAGTTCTTGTAAATTGAACTAAAAAGCATTCATCAACATTTAAACATCTCATTTTTGGTTTTTTAGTAATATATCAAAGATCCTTCTGACAATTTTGTTGAATGTTAGCAGTGTTATTCATTGTAATAATGTGCTAAGACTGCTTTGGATTAAGCACATATTGATACATCTTTTTTGTCTAGGCATTTCTTCATCTCTACTTTGTGTGTTAGGGAAAAATAAAAACTTTTATGAAATGTTGAAACAATGTTAAAAACAAACCAATTTTGACTGTTGCTACAGAATGTTATTTTGTTATTGTGAACATATCTTTTATTTTCTGTGACAACTCATTTTCCTGTGTCAAAAAGTAGGTTTTTCAAATTTTGACACCATGTATCTTGGAAACCAGACTTTTTTTACTTGATTTTGGATCAGCAATGCACACTTGGAACTATGGCATAATATCAAGTAACATTGGAAGAGTAGTCATATAAAGAGAAAACAGACAAAGATATAAAATTGTAGAGAGATAGATGTCCCTGAAAACATGGCATCTTATTCAGTCAAAAAGTGCATTGTTGCCAGATAGATAATGCTTTTAGGGTGAACCTATTGACCATTACTTGTAGTGAACCCATGTTTGTTCAAGTTTAGTTTTGTATGAATATTTATCCATGGTTGGGTTATATATATATATATATAACAAGTAGGAAAATAATGGGCAAAATCCGCAAAAAGGAGGAAAGTGGATTCGAGCAGAAAATAGGATAGGTAACCCGAGCGATACGTATTTCTGCTGGTTGGCTTCATCAGGCCCAAAATGAATGCACATATGAAACTACAAAAGTAGATACACATGCCCACACATCCTGATACGGGTGTAACCTGAGGAAACGAAGTTGGAGGGGGAAAAAAACGACACACGAAGTCCACAACAAGAGCCAACCTACACATTGTAGTATAAAATGGCTATACGACCTCGACTTTTCAAGGAGACGTCTAACCACCACCACGCGGCCGGTTATAGCCACTTGCTGTGGTACTTCAAGCCCAAAGGATCGACAAAGAGAATATTTTCATGCTGAGAAAGGTATATAACAAGTAGGAAAATAATGGGCAAAACCTCAAAAAGGAGGAAAGTGGATTCGAGCAGAAAATAGGATAGGTAACCCGAGCGATACGTATTTCTGCTGGTTGGCTTCATCAGGCCCGAAATGAATGCACATATGAAACTACAAATGTAGATACACATCCGGATACGGGTGTAACCTGAGGAAACGAAATGCGTAAATGGGGACCTAATATAAATCGGGGAATTACCGAATTTTATGTATGTAGATATGTGCATTGCAATAAGCGGAACTAAAAAATCGTCCGGGTATTAGAGTTTCGCGTCCGCTTATGGGAGATTTTTTGATCACATACAGGAAAATCTAGTGTCCGCGTCCGTTTATAAGAGCGTCCGTTTATCGGAATGCATTTAACATTGAAAATTGATGACTGAAATTCGGTTCCAGGAACTTTGTCCGGTTAAAAGAGATGTCCGCTTATAGGAGCTGTCCGCACGGAGAGCTTTCACTGTATATATATATATATATATTTGCAACCTACAAAATGTTTTTCATTCAATAAAGTTACACTTTTTGAGATATATAGTTATTCTCAAAAATGATATAGCTAGGGCCCTATGCTGAATACTGCACAACATAGTTTAGTCATAAAGAAGTATGTCAGCTTGAAATTCAAAGGTTTTCTATCCTCAAATTGCCTATTTGACCAATCATCAGTTTGCAATATGTTTTATTTATTTCAAATAACTTTGATGTAACCACCAAAAACCATGAAAAAAGAGCTGATCCCTACTGCTTAGAATAAATGTAGCGATTTGTAAATATCATATGACAACTTGGCAACACCGCCTCGGTAGCCAATGCACATGAATCGCCGTTTTCAATTTGTAAACCAGTAATAGTCCAAGAGGTGACTTCAAAGTTTTGGTTTCAGTGCATGGTGATATAGTCATATCTTACGTGTTTTAGTGCTAAACAGCAAACTTGCCAAGATTGCTGTTTTGCATCAATATACAGTTATGGACAAAAGTATATAGACAAATATGAATATTTATGTAAATACCTTTAGAAAACGAATTCATACTTCATTGCTTCATAAACAAATGCGTTATTAGTAGAAAAACTAAATTCCTTGTTTTTACATATCTGCAATGAACACAATACAAGTCTGAATATAAGCACTTTTTTATGAGGAACAAAAATATCTAGACAAATTCTTTTCAACATTGATTTAGTACAGTTTCATGTCAGAAGGGGATTAGTTTGTGTTAATTTTTTATTGAAGGGAGTCTAAAGAATTTATTTATGCATAAGTGAGTATTATGCTAAAACGAATTATGCATACAGGTTGGTGTATTAATAAAACAAGTTAAAAAAGAAATACAGCACAATATTAATTTGTCCATTACTGTAGGTAAGATCCGACTAGTTTTTATTGTATCATATCAGTCTGGGATGATGTAAAAAAAATTATGAGTCACTTCTCTACCATAATGAAGATGACTCCAAAGGCCAATGGGGCCGACGGCGGATTGCAAAGGCATTCCATGAAGTGTCTTTTGATATAACTAATCTTTGGTAACATCCTGTATATGTCTGTGGTAGGGGGCCTATTTTTTTCTATTGTCTTTTTCAAGAGTATGCATTACGATAGAATAACAGCTGCTTATCTATTAAGATTTCAAAATTCTCGATATCGACAAATGACGCATAATTTTGACGGGTCCCTCAAGGCCACATAGAGCCCTGTATTGTTTTTGTTTTTTGTACGTTACAGATTCACTTTGTACTTGCTAACAACTATTTCATTTAGAAAAGTCCTTTTGCATACAAAAAAAAAAACGCTACAAGTTTTACTAGTTTTGCACCCAATTCATTATTGCTACCCTTACAGACTAATACAAAGATGTCACTCGCTGATCAGCTGATTACCTTAGTCGAGCTTACCCGCGGCAAAACTTGACGGCTGTTGTCACCAAATATTACAATACTTTTGATAACAAGTAATTATGGTCACCTAGGACACCAGAAAACCATGCTAAACAATTTTTTTTATTTTATTGTCAATAAAGTATGTTTTGTAAACTATGTGTATGCAGAATAATCTGTTACTGATCAATTAAGTCTTGTCAAATACCATTCCAGCATCTAATTTTTTCCTGCAAAAAAAATCGAAAAAATGCAAAGTAATATTTTTTAAAACAAAACATTCCTGCAGGTGTTACCACCAGCAGTCATGCTTCTTCTATTACTTAGCAACGTATTTTTTCGATTTTTTTTTAAACTTATGCCCTTATGATGTTACTTATAAATATTCCATAACCTGAGGCACCTTGTATACATTTATCTTTTTCTTCTAGTGGTGGTCCTGGAGGTCCAGGCGGTCCTGGAGGACGTGGAGGTGGCGGTCCGATGATGCGCGGTCGCGGTGGAGGCGGCATGGGCGGTGGAATGGGAGGCGGTATGGGTGGCCGCGGGGGCGGTGGAGGCCCCGGCATGGGAGGCCGTGGCGGATTCGGCGGACGCGGTAGAGGCGGACCTGGAGGAGACGGACACCGCGGCGGTGGGGGCAGAGGATTCGGAGGCAGAGGAGGCATGGGTGGCCGCGGAGGCGGTGGTGGCGGAGGTATGATGATGGGGGGGATGGGACATGGAGGTTAGTTATAGTTTTTGTTTTTATTTTGGTTGTAACATGGAATGGAGGGGGTGATGGGTTGACATTTGGAGGTGATGGTGGTAAATGAGGGTGCTTATGATCAGTAGCTTCATCACTCACTTGTGACTGGTAAATATCAATTTCAGTCATTAATTATATATCAGTCACAAGTGAGCACTTGTCAACAATTGGTTTAAACAGTGAGATGTACCAGAGTTGAAACTTGCAGTTTATTATTCAAGTCTCTGTTTTAACTCCTCTATGTTTAATTTCAGCTTGATTTTGCCGCTTTTTATTTTGTCTCATTTGAATATATCTATCACCTAAACAGTTCCTTTAACTGCTTGCTTGAATTGGTGATCTAAGTAAGACAGTAATCCCAGTTTTCAAAACACAGCATTTTTTAGTAGGCAAATATTCATCATTCGCATCGCATCTCTAAGAGATGGCACGTGTGTTTAATGACGTGAAAATGCTGTATTTTGAAAACAGAGGGTATTGTTCCGGGCATGGGTCAAGGCTGTACAGAAAAACTTTCTTTTACAGTGAAATATTCAACTTCATTTATCATTATGCATTAAAATGTACACAGGAGATTACTCTCGCTATGCAACATACATTTTTGAACTTGAATACTGTGTGTATTCCCTTTATCATTGTCATGCCTCTGTTTCAGTACTCTGTATCATATATCTTTCTATTTATTTTATACTGAAATGGGTCTAAATTGCATGTGCTTTTCACACACTTAGTCATTTCCCAAAAGGCATGTAAAAACTAATAAAACAAACAAGTTGATCACTTTTAATAAAGATGGCATTTGACCACTTTTTTACATAACACATTAAACAACGCCAATTGGGAACACTAGATTGGCTTACATTTTAGAGAGAGTGGAAACATTTTTCCTGGTTATTTGTAGATTAACATTATTGCTTAATAGTAAACATCACTAATAAATATAGTCACTCTCCTGTAAATAGCTTGGGGACTCTGATACATCATCATCTGATCTAATTCACTCTGTTAGTTCAGTAGTTAGGCAAAAGTATAAAATATGAAGTTTTTTCCTTATTTTACCTAACAATAACCATCCATATTCCAGTGTCTAAATAGGGTTCTGGGTGATACTAGTGCCATCTATGATAATAATCTTAATTGCCCAACAATCATTTACAGGACATTAATACTTAATTAATTAATAAAACCAAATTAAATGAAAAAATAAAAAACAATGGTTTAAAATACAAACAATATTGATTTAGTGGCAAGTATGAAAGTACAACAGAATACAGAAAAATAATAAAGATTTTTGACATGTCAAGCATCAATGCATTTAACCTCTATATGAACATATAATGAAAGTTAAAAGCCAGACATCCAGAAAAGGATAGGTCATTTATGTGATTTCTCTGTCCAAGTACAAAAGATCAAAATTCAGTATTTTTGAAATACTGTCATAATTTATATCACAAACAGCAAAAATTGAATTAAAATTCCCACACATAGTTAGGACTGGCAACTTTAGAAGCAATTTAGTTCTAGCTCTATCACAATGGAAGGTTTTGGTACCATCAGTCTTTAAATGAACAGTTTTGAAAAGCGTTCTCAATTGCAATTTTTTGTTTGGACTAATAGGGATGCCAAATAATTCTAATTTTGAGCAGACAAGTCAACAGAAAGACCGACAGTTTCTCATTATGAATCCATACGCCTTTGATGCAGCATTAACCATTATTGAGACATGCTCAACAGACAAAAATGAATAAATTACAACTCCTAAATCTATAGTTTTCTGACAATGATAAAGTACTTCATAGTCTATGGTATAGTCAAAGATAAATGGGCTTTTTCTTTTACTACATTACACTTTTTTCTACATCTATGATACAGTAGCATAACTTTTACATTAGAAATCCACTTTGATATGCGTTAGTGTTCGGTTATACTGTCTCATAGATGGCACTTTGATCTTCAATTCATTTTCAGCCTCTCTTGAAGCACTGATTAACATATTCCTCATGAAGATACCCAGTTATAATAGGGGCTGAAGAGGACAAAAATGGTTGAATATTTTAGCGTCGACTATGGCAGAACCAAACACTCGTAACTTTTTTCAAAAATGGGTTCTAAACTCATTTTTGTGTTCTGCTACTATCTCGTGGATAATGCTAATATCTTTGAGATCCATTTTTAGACGCTGGAATACAGTATATGGTTGACTTATCTCCAGGTAGAATACAATTATTTACACCTTGTTTTTTATTTATTTGCATGGAGTGGAATTCTCTTTTTATTTTTTGTTTTTTTTTAATCCATATTATGCATTTCTATTTGACACACACAGACTATGCCCCCATAGGCATGGGAGGTGGCGGCATGAAAGATGACGTCGGAGCGATGGGTGGCAGAGGCGGCGGTATGGGTGGCCGCGGGGGCGGCGGTAGAGGCAGAGGAATGGGCGGAGACCGCGGCGGTGGCGGCGGATTTAGAGGAGGTAGAGGCGGATTCGGAGGCGGCGGCGATCGTGGAGGCGGCCGCGGTGGCGGATTCGTAGATAGAGGAGGAAGAGGAGGCAGAGGAGGATTCGGTGATAGAGGCAGAGGAGGACCGCAGGGTCAGAAGAGAGGATTCGGTGGTCAGGGAGGACCTGCAGGCGGTCAAGGTGGCCCAGTCGGTCAAGGAGGGCCCAAGAGGACCAGGTTCGATGGAGGTGGACAGCAAGCTGGCGGACAGAACGGATATAATTCAGGGTGAGTAGATTAGCTATGGGTAGTAGCATTATTTGTTTATTTCTGAAATAGCAGGTAGCTGGGGAAGCAACAAGTGGCTCTCATAAGGGGGGTGTTGGAAGAGTGTTGAAGAGCATTTATCATCTTCCAGCCCCTGTAATGCTTTACCAATCTTCAGTGTGTGATAAACCTAACTATACAATTGCACTTGCATTTAAAATGGACATAACTTTTGTGTTATGTTTTCTGTTGCATGTGCTATAAAAAAATATCCCTTATTTGCAACCCATGCTTACGAATTACTAAGCGTGTTACTACTGGGGATGAACAGTTATATTACTAGCGCTAACATTTTTGTAAATTTGATCTTTAAAAACATTATTACTTCGAGAACCAAATTGAATCTATGATATAGGAACACTGATGATGCATTTGGGAATATCGTGAAACCTGAACACTTCCTCTTTTTTATAGTGGCGCTGGAGGATATGGCGGCCAACAAGCGTACCAAACACAGCAATATGGCGGCAGTCAGGGATATGGAGGTCAAGGTGGCGGATATCAGCAGGGTGGATATGGCAGTCAAGGTGCTGCTGGAGGATACGAGAACAGCGGATATACTCAGGGATATGCGGCGGCGCCTGCTACAGATTACTCTGGGTAAGTCATTTTAGACAATTTTTAAATTCTAATTGTGAATAAATGGCGCCCTTGACACTCGTATCTCAGTGGTACTTACGAAATTTGTGCAGTTTAAACTGACTGTACTACACCAATTCAGCCCAATTAGTGCAAGTTGACATGCACAAACTTGCGCAAGTTTGAACTTACGGGCTACGAGGTCCCCAACAAACCATCTTATCTATTATATTTTCTTTCAGTTATTCTGCGGGATACGGAGCAGCTCCAGCGGCTGACGGATACGCTGGCGGATACAACAGCGGAGCATCCGGCGGATACGGCGCGACTTCGGTAGGTGGAGGATACGATGACAGAAGTGGCGGATACGCGGCAGCCGGAGGCGGATACGGTGAGTCTTATTACTGACCACTACATCAACAGAAGAAAATACGGCCCCCAAAAACCGCGCTTTACAAAGTACACAGGGAAGGTGAATGAATTCAAAAAAATAAGAAACTAGATTGGTTGGTTGAGCGATCCATGTGCATTCTTGTATAATTTTGCTATGATTTGGTCATTATCAAGCCTTAGTTGGTATTTATAGTCGTCACTTACAAAGGTGTCTCAATAGGTATTTCGGTTTTGGAGTAGCCATTTTTCAACAATTTGACTTTTTATATCGTATGTCATTCCGAATTCGGAAATTTAAGTCGAGGCTCGCAGGGTATCTAGAGTGCTTTTTACATGCAAAAAGTATGATTTATGGTTATTCGTTAAACCTCTAGTTGCGGGAGAATGCACGTTTTACATTACTTTCAAAGGGGAATTGTCGGTTTGATATCCAAATTTTTCTTAACCTCAATAGCCCTAGGAATCCCGCTTTAATTGTGTATTGTTTTACGACGGATTAACGCATCAGGATTAAGCAAACATTTTGGGGAATAGTCAATCATATTAGACGAAAATACCTCTGGTTTGCTACATAATTGTAAAGTCTGGTTTTATTGGTGAAAGTTGTTCAAGGGGGTATTCAAAACATGGACGCATAAAATGGGTACACCAATTTTTGTGGGAAAACTTTATTCCACAACAAAGAATGAGAAAACGTGTTTTTTTGGGATTCAATCTAAAGTTTTGACAGGAACGAAAAAACTGTTAATATTAGATTTTTAGGTATTTATAAGACCTACAAAATGAGACCACACGTAGAAAGATCCGGCTAATAGCAAAAATATTATGGCCGAAAAACGAGGCAAAATGCCGGTTTTGGCACTTGTTGGGAATGGGACGTTGGTTTCTCGCAGATATTTGAAATTCGTAAGATTCGTACTTCTAAATATCCACAACAAAATTGAAATAGATTGGTCAAGTAGTTTTTGAGGATTTCTAATTGTTTATCCCAAAACTCCAAAAATACACCAATTCACCTTGCCGATATAAATCGCAAACCATTCCGGAAGATAAATGTTATTTTTATGCAAAAAAGGATGGCTTCCGTTTTTTCTTCTAAACAAATTAAAAAATTTCGTATTTGGGAGTAATTCGCAACAAATAATGATATTCACATTCGCTGTTTTAAAATGTGTATTTTCACGTATGTTTTTCGAATATCGTGGCGCATTTGTTCAATTACTCACAAATACGAAATGTTTGAATTTGTTTAGAAGAATACAATGTAACCTTTGTTTTTCGCATAAAAATAACATTTATCTATCGGAATGGTTTGTGATTCATATCGGCACGTTTGGTGGACTGCGCGTTGACCCGATCTTGCCCCATGCGACATTTTCCTTTGGGGCTACCTGAAAGCAAACGTTTTTCAACACCATTGTTGGACCATTGACAAAATGAAAGCAGGAATAAGCTGAGAAATTATCGCCTCAAATTGCTGCTCGTGTGACGGAAATTTTCAGAAATCGAGGCATTGCTCAATAATCCTGAGAGCGAGGAAGCGGAAGACGCTTTGAATGTGTATCGAAAACAATGGTCGCTTTTTGGACTCTGCAATTTTCAAAACTTAATAAAAACAAATGGCATAGCATACATTTTCAGTTAATAAAAATAAAATCTAGATAGCATTTACAAGTGCGTTTCTATTAAAGCTTAAAATGTGGGAGATCAGGGCCCTGTATAAATGCATGATATTTTTCCAAACCAAAACTCTGAAATATCTACGGAAACAACCTTCATAAGTGGTACCGAAGGACTGAGTGTACCTTGACTACGCACGAGAGCAAATGGATAGTTCACCTCTACGTTTTTCCAATTACATGTATACCTTTTTGGAGCAATGCCGAATGATCTTTAATTACATCTTGTACTTTGTAAAGTAAAAACAAGTAGATATAGTCACTAAAATTTTTGCAATTTACTATGGAAGATGAACGCGCACATACTGAAATAAATATGGAACGATGGTTATGATATATGTGATACCTACAAAGAATTCAAAACATGACAAGCTGTCTAGATATAGTACATGAGAGCGCATCCAAGATGGAAACATATTTAGTTGACTTGGTTGAATAAATACACCAAAGAGTTACTAAGAAAGTAATTTGCAAAAACGATTATCTCACTGTTATTGGTAAATTTAACCAGATGTTCGCATCTCTTCGCTATTTTCAGGTACCGCCCAGGCTAGACGATACTAAATAGGTTCCCTGCCAAAAAGGCAAACAAAAATAGTATTCCTTTGACGATCTGTAACTTAAGTTAGTTGTGTATGTTAATATTTTCTCTGAAATAAGAACACAGAAACTGTGTATTCTGCTGCTAATGTATTATAGATAATTACGTGTAATTTTTTAATATCAAACAAGTTTGAACCATGATTCAGACAAGTATGGATAGGTACCTACATTTAACATAATTGTGATTTATTTCGATATGTTTTTCTTTTTGTTTATAGTTTCTTGTCTGCATTCAGTTGATGATTTATGTGTGGATTTAATAATGCGAATGTCCGCTGACTTAAATTATTTGATGAATAAACCATTTTGTATATAAATTGTATTTTTGACAAATTAAAAAAGCGTTTGAAACACGATCCGATCGACTGGTAGCTGCTGAAATTTTCTAGATGCTCAAAAGCTTCGGTTATAGCTGATAGCAAAAGGCAATATTAGGGAAATAAGTTAAGCATAACATGTAAAGCATGAGCAGCAAATAAGATGATTTCCGATTTTTGATTATCTGAAAAATTCAGCCTCTTCATGAATGAATTTGGATTTATTTGTAATAAAAAATACCGAGTTCAAAGACAGTAGTATTACTAAAACTTCCTCCGCACTGTATACCCTGAACTCCACTGAAAGACCAACGTTTCTTCAGAATACAAGCAACAACTATATGCATTATCATTATATAAGAATTAAAAAAATGAGGAATAATCGGTGTTGTTACATTAAAACACGTTTTTGGTTTACAATATGCAGCAGATAGACTTTCATTTTTAAAGGAAGCTTTAAATCCATTACAAAGAAGTCCACAAGTATTAGTGGTGCTTGTTAAGACTAATGGTCGTTAAAATTTTCTATTCTATTTGATGATCACAAATTCTCTACAAATCTTTTGTCAGTCGAATTGTGTAAATGACACCTCAGGCTTGTAACAAAAGAAAATGAGATTACTCTGATGAAATCAGTGTATTGAGAGCGTACATGTTTGGAAGAGATTGTAGGTAATGTATAACTAGGCATACCAATCTTATTTAAAATCTCATTATTATGCTCCATTTTCTGTTTATTTAGTGAATAGCAAAACGTATGGCGGCGGATAAAGCGCTGAGTGCAAAAGGAAGTAAAGTATGAGAAGCAGATCACATGGAGGCACAGTTTGAAATACAACATCTATTTTCATCACAATGTTGTAATTGTATTATTATCGCAAACAGCGATTATTGTTTTGTTAAAAAGACATTTATTTGCATATCTTGAAATATGGAAAATATGTCGAATTTGGATCACCAGTTGAACCATTGAATTTTATCGAAATTTTCATGAAATATCATCACTAGATCAATTAAGATGACTTTCAATTTTTTGTGCGCGCCATCTCTTGTCTTTAAAGGTGGACAAGTGAAAAATGTAATAAAAACTGACAATTGAAATTCACTGAACAGTTCAAACTAAGTGATGGGAACAAAGTATAAAAATATGAATAAAACACATCAGAACTCTATACCCTTGAAACTGTAGAAGTTTGGGAGAAATTAGGTAATGTATAAACTACATATATTTATTCACCTTACTTTCAGTCTCAGTGTTAGTAGTATTATTCATTTTCTATTTGATAATTGCAAAATGTATATAAAGAGTAAGTCGATGATTTTCTGATCAATAAAAAGCATAAAGCAGCAGATCACAAGAAGCCAAACGCAATGGTTGAAGCAGACATTGACATGAATATTCATAACCTTTATGAAATATCCAAAGTATAACATATAAATTGAGAAAATGTCGGAAAGTGAACTATTAAATCGAATTCAGCAGTAAATTTACAGGTTCAGGACAAAACTGGAAGCAAGACAGTATTTTCATCTTACAATTTATAAATTTTATAATCTCTAAGGCAGCAAAATTGAGCATGTACGCTTACCATTGCAATTATGTAAAAATTTACATAAATGTGTTTAGTGCCCAAAACGAACTGCGTACAGGGTAGAAAGGAAGATACTTTCCACATAGCCAAGTGGCAATGCATACCAAAATAATACTATATGGAAGAATTTAACGAACAGCATAATTATATGCTTAAAACAAATTCAAAAAGTTCTATATTATAGGTAAAGTATTTCTTAACATACAATTCACACTTCTGTACTTTACTTATATCTATTGACAGCTAAAGCAAAAGTTACAGTAAATGATAATTCTACACAACTAACAAAATCAGCTCTCTGTAGGATTTTGTGCAAAGAAGTAGCAATGCTTTTTATAACTATTATATTTGAAAGAAAAATCTTACACTTGAAATGCTGTGATGAATTTTTCAGTCTCAAAAGTGTGGTGTAACTAATTTTGAAGGTTTATTAGTCAAATAGCTGGAATGGGAGTAGTCAATCTCAATTGAACGGATTAGTGAAATTAATTTACAAGTTTAACTATTCCTTCCTACATTGTTTAAAATCACTGAATTTCATCACGTCATTTGAAGATTCTCAAAATGGTTGCCTTTGGAGGATGTGCTAATCTTTCCTATTTTTGTAGGATGAAGAATGTGGACATCGTTGGACACTCGAGGTATCGTATTGACGATATAATTTGAAATATAACACAGATGGTTTCTGGAGTGATATACAGGTGACTTTGAGGTTGAGTCATTAATTTTCAATAATGATTGTAGAAGGAAGATAAACCAAATATGTGTGTAAAATAAAAAAAAAATTTACCTGTTTTTATAAGTATCCTCCCGACAAGTATTTCAGTGCGGACCTGTTTTGATCGTGAGGTCTTGGAGCACCGGCATGCGTCCATATGTGAGGTCTTAAGGCACCTGATTCACGAACCCGTTGTACTACATTAACAAAGGCACGAGGGTTGGTTGCACTCGATTGGGAAACCGATCCGCATAAATCCGTGATGCCGCGTAAATAAGAATCATGTCCACAAGTTCGCATTTTCGTAACATGTGCCATTTTGATTTCGTTTGAGCCACGCAACAGACACACTATTCACTCACGCGTTACCGACTGACACTGACTGAATACAATGATAAAATAATTGTAAAACTCGTTCCAAATCTTTCGCTTTTTTGTTTCCGATGCGATGAACCGATAAGGCGGATTATATCGGTGTTCCAAACCAGACACATAATATTATTGAGACAGGGCGGTACTCAACTCCAAGGGCTATAACTTTGAGACAGAAAAATGGTAAAGGGCAGGCTACGCACTTAAATTCTCAAGAGGCTAAGTTGTTATTTGTTCTTTAATATACCAGAAAAAAGAGTAAAGGGAAAAAAACATTTCTTTTGTACTACATTAAAAAAGGCACGAGGGGTTGGTTGCACTCGATTGGGAAATTCGATCCGCATAAACATTGCCATTTTTTTTATTTCGTTTTGAGCCACGCAACAGAACCACTAATCACTACCGACTGAACACTGACTATATACAACTGAATGAAATAATTGTAAAAAACATCGTTCCAAATTCATTCGCTTTTTGTTTCCGAGGCGATGAACCGATCCGTTTGTCGCCAAACACGAGGCACATATTATTATTGGACAGGGCGGTAACTCAAACTTCAAGGAAGGGCTATAACTTTGTTACTTTTAATTTTAACCAGAAAAATGGTAAAGGAAAAACATTTTCGTTTGATCAGATTAACTCACTGTTTAAAATAAATACTCAACATTTCGAAGTCACCCTTATATACAAATGACTGAATTGAGTAAATACAAGTAGATTTGGTAGAAATCTGCTTATTAAATGAAAAAATTCAACTTATGCCATACATTTTCTTAGCTTGCTGAAGTGAAGTAATTAGGAATATATATTTTCAATGATTCAAAAATGCGTCTTACATGCTTTAAGAATTTTAAAGCTCACTCCAGAATCCATGCAAAATGAATTTTGGAATAGGTACCAAATAGGAATGAGCTGGGATTATTTTCAAAATAAACGATCAAATACATTATTTTGTTTCATTTCCCCAAATAAACCGTCACATAAACAATAGTGGGGAGATACACCCTGGAGGATAGTTTGTAGAACTGAGTTCGCAAGATGGACAAAGATGTGTTGTCATATGGACATAGATCATGTAGCAAGTGCCACGAACAGGAGTAGTAGATGTGTCATCAGGTTGAATAGTGGATAGAGTTTGGCTAGTTTCACACGTTTCTATTTAAGTCGCAACGCAATTAAAAATACCAGTTTTTCTTTAGAAACATTCTTTAGTGCTAGTTGTACTGCTGTTTGATAGATGGCATTTCAAAACCCTATTATCACATGCTCCACAAAATTTAACTAGGTTGAATGAATCTTCAAGGGGCGGCTGGTCGGGGTTTGGGTGGCACAACGCACGTTCCAAGATCAAGAAACTTATATGGTCGTGAGGGAGGTAAAAACCCCCCATATTTGTTGGAAAATGCTTCCTTTGGATTAGCAAATACGTATTTTTTTGTCGTGCAGAAAAGAAAGCGACCACCCCTACCCATAAATCAAGGTTACTAACTCTTTTAGTAATTTCCAGGGTAGTCTATGAAACTATGAGTTGTGCGGTTGGAATGTATGAGTAGCGCCCTCTATTGAATAGTAGCAGAACTAAAAAAACTGCAAACTTTCATAGAAATAGGGAACCTTAAGTTTTACACAATAATAAACTTTATCGATGTGAACAGGTTTTGATAAGAATTTTGACGATCTTTTTTATGTCTAAAGGCAAATTAATATTCTCTTCCTCAAACGGGAGTTCCGGAAATAAAATGCCAGATAGAACCATAAATAATATATTTGTGATATAGTTAACAGCTCTATACATAAATATGACATTTAGTAAGGTTACGGAAATGCACAATATCACCTGGTTAAAATATCAACCTTCAACAAAAAAATAACTAACAATCAACAACACAATATTCGAATATGATTAATATGGAATTTGGTTTTGATAATACTGAATCATGTCATAAGCGTGAGTGCGGAAGTTCAAGAAACTATTTCTAATAATTTGCAACATATAAGCAGCCGCTTCTTTGTCAGTCACACCTGGACTGAATCTTCCACGCAGCAGCTTGATGGTTTGACCTCTGAAGCAGGGAAGTCCCGTATCCAACATCAGAGAGACCAACGAGATAATTGCTTCGCATTGGGGCCTAAAAAAATCATGGTACTTTAACACACGAGCCTAAATTAATGCGCTGCAAAAAACGCGCGACTATTTGCTGCAGACACTGGAACGTTTTGCAACCAATAAAAGTTAAAGAAGAGGAAATGTTTTTGCGTTTGACTACAAATCTAGAATGTGTGACATGTCCGTCATTTTGATTTGTGACAAATGGATATTCTGTTATAAGCAACCTCGAGAACGTGTTGATGAAGTTTTTTGTGAAATTGAAAAAAAACTAGTTATCCGATATAAATTTGGGCGCTCCGCTTTTACAGAAGTTACAAGAAATTCAATATATTTTTAACACTATTTTTTTTATCTGTATGTTACGACTATATTGCTTGTTTTGTATATGAATATATGAGGGTACTGGGAAGCCTTAACCAATGCCATAACTTATTGGTGGTAAGGTATTGTATAATAGAAACATACCTGACTGCTAAATACGCCTGTACACACAGATCTGAGAACCATTTGAATGCAGGTGCTTCCATCTTCCCACCCATAATCATAACCATCTCGTCAGTAAGCTTGATGTCTGGTTCAAAGCCCAAATTTCCTCCAGGTGAAGATTCAAACATGAATCCAAAATCTGTAAAAAAGAAAAATTTTGCATTATTCTGTCAGAGTATAATTGATAAAAAGACAACACTGCTTGTAGTTAAGTTACATGTCCATATTATGGCTTTTAAAAAAAGAGTAAGAAATAGATATATAGAATAAAACTTACCGATATGTATAATATGCCCGTCAGTATCCAACATAATGTTGCCGTTATGTCTGTCTTTGATTTGTAGCAAGAACCCAACAACACTATACGCCGCCATAGAAATTATGAAATTTCTTCTGGCATTTTGGAATTCCTTGGTACTTTCATCGCCATACTTCTTGAGGAAGTACTCGTACATGCCTATGTCAGTTTGACGCCCCAATTGATCTCTTGATTTTGCGTTAGGCACGCATTCTATAACACCACACTAAAAAAAAACAAAGAACATCAAGTAACTTATCTCTATGAACTTCTGTTATTGTGTTTAGGAAGTTCAATTTGGGAGGAAAATTATTATATTATACTAAGTGACATATAAATCCGAACACCCAGTTTAAATGGTTTTATTTTAATAAAAGTTGGTGAATGTATTTATCTTACTGTAAATAACAAGTGAAAAAATGTTCAGCCTTATCAGTTGGACATTCCGGTTTTTATACTGCCTTTTTTTATTCACTACGCTCTAAAGTGAATATTTCAGCCGCAGTAAGAATCAACGTTGGCGGATTTTGGTTCTTGACATCCTTTACGATCGGTTACGATGCCTAGAGTACGGAGACCTGTACGATTTCGTCAACTTAGGGGCCGTATAGTGGGACTTCGGGAAGCTGGACTTTCTTTTCGGGCAATTGCAGTTAGAGTGCAAAGAAGTGTAGACACTGTGGTTAGGTGTTGTCAGGCATGGCTTCGAGAAGGCCTTACGCAAAGAGCAAGGGGCACTGATGCCGCCGTAGAACAACAGACCGTGAAGATCGCCGCCTAAGATTATTGGCCTTAAGGGACCGTTTCTCCACTACCAGGTCCATTGCAAATGAATGGTTTGCAGAACACGGAAGACCTATTGGCATGCGAAGTGTTTACCGACGAATGAGAAGTTTTGGCTTGTTTTCATACCGGCTACACTGGGTCCTCCCTTTAACTCGAGAACACCGACGTAATCGCCTTGAGTGGTGCAGTCACTCTGGGATCAGGAACGGAACAGTATTGTCTTTAGTGACGAGTCTCGATTTTGTTTAGGCATGCACGATGGTCGTGCCAGGGTTAGAAGGCGACGTGGTGAAAGGAGGAATCCACAGTTTTTTGTTGAAAGACATGTTCATCACACTGTTGGAGTTATGGTTTGGGGTGCTATAGCTTATGGTTCCAGGTCACCTTTAATCTTCATCAGAGGTAACATGAACGCGCAGCGTTATATCCACGAAGTTCTAGAACACATCTTTTACCCTATCTTGACACCCTGGGAGATCCAACTTTCCAACAAGATAATGCCCGACCACATGTTGCAAGAGTCGCAATAGACTTCTTTTAACATAATGATGTCACATTGGGATATGATGGGTAGGAGATTGCTCAATTTGCAACGTCCTCCTCAGACTCTAGAAGCACTTCGAGAGGAGTTGGTGGTTGGCTGGAATGAGATACCACAGGAGGACATTGACAACCTGATCAGAAGCATGCCTAGGCGCGTTGGAGAATGCGTAGCATATCAGGGTGCATCCATACATTATTAAAGGTCAAAGGGCTTTAAAGCAGTGCAATCATTTTGAATTTTTTATCATTTACTTATTATGCTTCATTAAGTACTTATACAAAATTTTATTAAAATAAAACCATTTAAACTGGGTGTTCGGATTTATATGTCACTCAGTATATATATATACTAAAATAATCCCGGGTCGTGAAAAAATGTATGGGGTATGAAAAAAATGTTTTAAAATGTTTAAGCAACCGAAGTCTTTGAATACTCACCCCAGGAGCTGTTGCAACTACCCTATACGGGAAAAGGTATAGATCCAACCCAACAGTCTGAAATATATTCTTGAATATACTGATAACTTGCAGGGCCAACATATCCTGCCTGACGTCATCACCAACTTTAAAGATGGCAGCTTGCCACATTTCAGGTCCCAAACTTTGAGTTTCCAAATTGAAGTCGTTCTCTGATATGGCCATTGCTATGTTCTCTAGCTCCTTTATGCCTATTTTGGCTACCCTGAAACGAGCTAGATAAGGAGCTTTGGCAGCACTTTGCATAGGAATGCCGCTTTTGTAGTCGATGTCCAGAACCATTGCTTCAGGGTTGCTGGGAAGGTAGCAACCTGGTTGGACCTGGAAAGGATTTACGAAAGCAGTTATTTTAACAGCTAAGAATGTTTATTGTCTTCGTTTTGCAAGTGAAGTGATACAGTTCAAATCAGTGAATGACTGGTTTACTTGATAACCCATTCCTCTTTATGTTTAACTATACTGTAGGCAATATAATTGAGAATGATTTATATTCACTACTGTGATATCATAATTTAAATTCGGTGGATGTTATACATAAAAAATAAACTTAGACTAAATGTTGCAAGTCAGGTTAAATCTAACTCAGCCGAAGTTGCTCTGTTGGCAATGCTTTTGGGGTACAGCTCTGACCTCATTTAAATAAAAAAACGAATGCGCAATAAACTGAGCAAAAGTAATGAGCATATTTGAGAATGTGTATAGGATGACCTAATAGTATCGAAGGTTTAATGTTAAAGGACATATACAATTTTATGAAATAGTACGACAAATAGATTCATCATACTTCATTTGATGTTTAAGGATATTGCTCAAAGAACTCTATTTCATTTCCTGAATCAAGGACCAGGGTTACGATACATTTTTTGGCAGGTTGAATTCTTGAAACAAAATCCTGGTTGATAAAGGAACTTACGATGTTAGCAAACTAACTTTACTAACGTTTTGACTCCTCAGTAGTTTTTCCAAAGTAGGAATTCAAAAATACCGGAGAATATGGAGATGAACCATAAGATGATCAACATCTGAAAATTATCATATGGTTTTCATACTGATAATTCTCCATGTCTTCAATGAAACTACATATGTAGCCTTGCAGTTTTACCAACGTTTCAGCCACCTCATTGTTTTTTTCATAGTACAGCAACCCCACGACGCGTATGCTTATTTTATAATAATAATAATAATATACGCCTTTATTACAAAAAAATATGTACATGGTACATACTGAAAGTGGGACTCAACTGGCGAAGTTTAGCAATGCTACTCTTACACTTAACCAGCTGAATCAATAAATACAGTGATGTTAAATAAATTAAAAACATATATATATATATATATATATATATATATATATATACACACATATATTACACATACCCACATATACATATATATCATGCGCCTAAAAATAATATTAGCTTCTCAACGTAATAAATATAAAGTCTGATTGGATGATGAATGTGGAAAGGATAGTATCAGTCAAGCAGCCTGATCCTTACATGCTTACGAAAACTTGCTAAGCTCATACATTTAAAGGAATATTCCAACGAATTATATAGAACTGCCGAATTATAAGAAAAACTGCGGGTGAATAAGACTGTAGAGTGAGGCGGAATTCTGATACTCAACCTATTCTCTAACCAACCGATCATGAACAACAAAGTTAAATAGAATTTTATCTCTCAAGTAGGCGGGCTTCGAAGTGGTTATTACTTTGTGAATAAATACTAGATGGTGATATTCGACCAATTTATCAAATTTGAGCCATTTCAGCGTCCTGTATTTCTGTGATACATGGTCAAATTTTCTCAATCCACATATAAAACGGACACAATTATTCTGTATAATTTGAATTCTATTTTTCGTTATTTTGTCAAGGCATGGGAAATAAAGGATGTTCAAACAAGACATCACTAGCGTTTCACACAGTTTTTTCCTGAGCTTATAGTTCAATAAGTATCTACAAGAGTACAAAGTGCGTAGGCGGAGGTAGGTTTTTTGAGCAAGATAGTTGATGTGATTATAAAACCTTAACTTCTCATCGACCTCGACACCTAAAATCTTGGCAGTAGTATCAACCTGAAGAAGATTTCTGTCAATAAAGATATTAAGGTTACCTTTCACGTAGTTTCTTTTATTATCAGAACAGAAAACTATGATTTTTGACTTCTCAGGATTAACTAATAAATTATGATTGGCTGAATATTTACAAACCATGTCAATATCATGTTGTAGCTCTATATTAGCTGTTGGTAATTCACTAGCTTTAAAATAATGTACTATGTATTTGGGTATCGTCTGCAAAAGATTGCATTTCAGAATTTTCCATTACTGCATATAGATCGAAGGTGTAGATGAGGAATAAGAGAGGACCTAGGATAGAACCCTGAGGCACTCCAGATGGTATGACACTTGGGACAGAGCTCTGTCTAGATAGACAAAGGCACGATTTTTAATTGAGCATCGTGCAGTGGAATTTGTTAATCATGATTTGCAAGGGGACTGTTTACCTTAATTCTGCTTAGAGCTTCTAGACAGGCTTTTCTTCTCTCAGGTCCCTTCGGGAAAACACGTATTTCGCCAGAAATGCTGGTTATTTTATCGAAGAAGTCGAATTCCCTTTCGTAGAACGATTTTGCCGGGCCAGAAAGATCAGTCACTATACTATTCACCAAAGATTCGAGAACTTCATACAAAACAGCTAAAAAAATTATCAGAGTTACAAAATGGCAATGCAGACTGTCGAGATTTGGTATTCTAATGACCTGCTTTACAGCCCCCAAAAATTAACTAGCAGTTTTCAAGTATTTTGTTGCTACTTACGATCTTTCTGCTGCATATCTTCGTCGATATACATGTTGGTTTTCATGTTCCATATCAGCTGGTGTGCCACTATCTGCGACTTTTTAGCTATGTATTTGATGAATTCAGTCACATAGCCCATCTGAAACATTATAATCAAATCCAAATGCATTTTCACCTTTGAATTCTTACCTTATCATGTCTCAAAGCTTGAACCAACTGTGGAATGTAAAAAAGCACGGCATCTGCTGGATACGAACTCAGTACTCTGACAGCATATTGAGCGGATATAGGATGCGAAGGAAATTGTCTACTGAAATACGCTAGAGCCTGAAAAAGAATGTATACCTTGAGATAAAAATGTCCGAGGAAAATTACAAGTACATACTTGGATAGGAGTAACAGCTGCCCAAGTGAGCATGTTGACAAGCTTTGGACTATCGAGTAAAATGGCCTCAGTTGTCACCAAATATTGCAGAGCTTCCGGTATATGGAAAACAGACGTCGGACTCATTTGAGTATGCGATTTTATTTCGTGTATAATTGCGTCATTTGTCCTAAATCTAAAATTACAAGATTCGTCACAAACGTTGCCCTGTATCAAAAAATACAGGGTGTCCGCAAAGTTGAGGTTTTCCTTTTCAGAAACAACAACCTTTGAAATAACAAAGGATTACCTTTATGTAGTGAAACGAGGGCGACCAAGTAGAAAAAAATAAAGGAAAAAGTACTCACTCTCCAGTTGACGAGAAGGGCTAAGTACGTCTCTGCCCGAAATCATACCGCTCCAACAGAAAATGAAATCAGCTGATGAGCTACCGAGCAGACGCAGAAACCACATTGATTGTCTTACACTTAATGGCACATCTTCTAACAAGGAAGGCAAAATGTTGCGTAAAAAGTCTAGGTATTGCATCCCGTCCAATCGATTTGCAAGAATAAATGGTCCAATGAGCATACCGTTCACCATGCCAGCCCAAACATTCACCGAAAATGTTTGCTGAAAATGTGCCCGACGGACAGCGTGCGGATTTTCTACTGACCAAACATGAGTGTTCAATTCAATTCAATTCAATGGACTTTATTGTAACACATACATAATTATGTATCCTTACAAATGGCGAAGTCTGGCCAATGGCCATTTATACTTAACCATAAATGTCATGTCAATGCTTATTACTACCTTAAAAATAAAATAAAAAACTGAAAAGAAAAGGAAAAAGAAGAATAATAGTAAAAGAAGAATTAATAAATATGACATAATGCGTACGATTAGAACAAAAAACATAATACGTACGATTCAAAGAGATGACAATAACCTAAGAGCTCAATAAGTAGTTCTTATATTTTTTTTTTAGAAAAGTTGCTGATGAAACATTGTTCGAAAGAGTTGATCAATTTCACCGCATTATACGTAAAAGACCGTTGAAAAATGGCTGTTCTATGTTGTGGCATTGTCAGGAGATTAATGTTGCGCGTATTCAAATTGTGAATTAAATTCCTACGAACAAGCTTTTGCATAAGATAAACCGGAACAGAAGTTTTTAATATTTTTACGACAAATGTAACAAAGTTGTATTTGAAAAGATCAGAAATTTTCAACCAATTCATTGAAGATATTGAGTGAGAAACATGATCGTACCTTCTTAAATTGTTTATGTAACGAGTTTTGAATTTTTTGCAGTCTGTATTTTGTGATTTCATCCAGACAACTATGTTGCAGTAAGCGATTTTACCGAGTATGAGTGACTCGCATAACATTTTCTTAATTTTTCTATTTAAAACAGTTTTACTTGCATATAGAAGCCTGAGTCTAAAATAACTAGACTTACACACAGCCAACATGCTCCTGAAATCTGAGATCTTCATCCAAGTACAAACCAAAATTTTTTGCAGAATGGGAAAATATTAGGATACTATTATTTAGTGATAAATTTAACTTTGATTTGAGGAAAGTACGGTTTTTCTTGGAGCAAAAAAGTATAGCTGTCGATTTCGATTCGTTTAGACGTAAATTATGTTTTGCAGCATATGTGCATAAGTATTGCAGATCTTGATTGATAAGGTTGTTAGCTAAATGGTAGTTGTTCAGACAGAAATTATGAAAAACCTGCATATCATCAGCATATGATTGACTAGAACAATGTTGAAGGGTGTTAGAAATGTCAAAGGTGTATATAAGGAATAAAAGTGGACCTAATATGGATCCCTGAGGCACGCCGGAACAAATCGGCCTTTTGTCTGAAAGTTTATTTTGTATGACGAAATATTGATGTCGTTCATTTAAATAGCAATCTATCCATTCCAGAACCAAGTCGTCACACCCAATGTATTTACATTTAGAAACTAACAGCTTATGATTCAGGGTGTCAAAAGCCTTGCTGAAATCCAATAAGACTAATGCAGTTGCTTCTTGCCTATCCGCCGCTGTTAGTACATCGTCACAAACCCGTGCAAAAGCGGTAGTGGTACTGTGACCCTTTCTAAAGCCTGATTGATTTAATGGCAAAATGCTGCGTTCGAGTAAACACTCATTCAACTGCATATAAACTATTTTTTCTAGAATTTATGATAGAGCTGACAGCAAGCTAATAGGTCGGAGATCACCAGGAACCTGGGGATTGGGAATCTTTGGGTTGCAGGTTGCACTAATGCTTCCTTCCAAGCATTTGGAAAAACACCGCGCTCTAAACAACAATTTACGTTATTAAGTGCAAAATGTATATTCCTACAGCAGGTAGACACAATTTAGTCATCTCAATGGTAATGCCATCAATACCACTAGAATTGGACTTGATACTGTGAATAGCAGCCAATACTGTAGATATATCGACAAGACGGAACTGAAAATGAAAATCTTGGTTTAATTTGTTATGGCTATAAAATTCGATAGTTTCCGAGCAATCATTGTCACTTTTCTGGAATATACTGGTAAACTAGTTATTTATTTCACTGGGAACTGCTAAATCATCTGGAATGTCAGTATTACTAGAATCCTGAATTCTAAATGACTTAAGAGCTTTATAAAGAGCTGCAGAGCTTCTTTGTCGAGATAGATGTTGAAGGTAGCCTGATTTCTCTGCCCGTGTAGCAGTTTTGGTAAAATTTCTCAGTTCATTGTAATGATTTCGATTCGCATCCGTGCGAGACCGTTTATATTTATGAAAAGCCTTATCTCGTTCTTTCATTATCATTTTCAAATTGTTTGTGAGCCATGGTGCACGAGGCTTAGACACTCTCACTGTTTTTAGTGGTGCATGTATGTCAAAAAGTCCTACAATGTTATCGGAAATAAATTTTACTTTCTCATCGATATTAGCCATATAAATAACTTCAGCCCAATTAACGCTAAATAAGTCATCGTCAAAAGAGGTTAGATCAAAATTGCGATAGTCTCTAAATGTAATTAGTCTAGGTGGTGGTTTATTGTTTTTACACGAAATGTGACAGAATACAGCCTGATGGTCACTAAAGTTAACAGTGAAAGTTCCCACTTTGGAACATCTTTGTCCACTGTTGAAGAAAACCGGATCTAAAAGCGTTGAAGAATGATCAATTATTCGAGTTGGTTCATTCAATAACTGGTGCAGGCTGTAAGATTGAAAGCAATGATTAATCTTATTATCAATAAAGAAATTAACGTTGAGGTCACCAAGTACCAAGATGCATTCATTAGACGGTGCTAAGATGGACAACGTATTATCTAATATACTTTTAATTTATTGAAAATGTGCCCGACGGACAGCGTGCGGATTTTCTACTGACCAAACATAAGTGTTGCGAAAGTTATTCACCCCATTATGCGTGAACGTAGATTCGTCTGTCACCAATATGCACTTCAAAAAGTCCGGATTATTGTCATGTTGATGCAACAACCACTCACAAAACCGCACTCTTGCTGGAAAATCGTCAGGTTGAAGAGCTTGTACACGTTGGACGTGAAACGGATACAGCCCCTCTTCACGCAGCGTTTGCCACACTTTAGTTTTTGATACTTGCACTTCTCTAGCCACGTCTCTAGTGCTTGTTGAGTAATTCTCGTCTACGCGATTACCTCTACACCCGTGACCGTAACCGTCGGTTGAAGGTTGCATACTGACCTGACACACTGACCCCGACCCAGTTCTGTCGTCGGGTTGAGCCAGTGACCTTGTACCAGTCGGTGATGTCGCGGCTACAGGACGGTATTCAGATATTTTTGACGTTGCAGAGCCCTTTATCTCGGTTCCCTTAAGACATTGGTGTATATGGTACTAAGAAAAATTGCTTATGTTTTCAAGATCTACACGTCGTGTAAAGGAAAACCCCAACTTTGCGGAACCCTGTATAGTAACTCACCTAGTCGGTAAATAGACTGCTAGAGCAGGCGAGATATCCCAGGCTAACCTTGTGTTGTCATGCCACTGTTTTTCTGTGATCGTTTTTGCCCTCCAAGATGCTATGTTATCTTCATGGGGGACTACTAACTCCGGCCTATTCGTTGGGTTGTGCCAAACTATCAAGAAGTCTATTTCGACAGCCTGGAACACAAAATAATTAGCGAACGAGTTCTAGAATACGCAAGTCTCAAAAACGTGCTTTAGGGAAAGTATATTATTTACCAAAAGCTCCAAAATCAGATTTCTCTTCTTCAAGTAACACTTGACGAAATTATCTGCCAGTGGTACCCGTTTTGACTTAGCTGATCTTCTGCTCAAAGTAGCAGAACTATTCGAAAGTGGTACTGTGTTTATCCAGCCTGTAGTAGGTTTGTTAAAATCGTTCGGTCGTGCCAATTCATTATTGTTATTAAGTGATGAAATCGGACTGGTAGAACCAACATCCAAGTCTGAAAAAAAATACGGAAACTTCTAATCTTAGAATACAACGATATTAAGAAACAAGGAGGGAAATACTTACCACTAACATCACTAGCCTTCAAATATTTCTTATCAGAATGCAACGTCTGCCAAAAGCTCACTAAAATAGTAATATCTTCTCTCAAATCATTCATATTTTGGGTAGGACACGCCACAGGTTTGCAAAAATAATCCAAACAACAGCAGTATATCCTTTCACGAAGCACATTTTTTGCGAGACATTTGGGAAGAATATCACCTTGCAGGAGTGATAAACCACACGTCAATAATCTGAAAGAAGATAATCAGTAATTTTTTATCAAAAAAGTTATTTGTCAGTTCTTCAATTTGCCACTATTTCTATGACGTGATGTAATATACTAAGTGACATATAAATCCGAACACCCAGTTTAAATGGTTTTATTTTAATAAAAGTTGGTGAATGTATTTATCTTACTGTAACTAACAAGTGAAAAAATTTTCAGCCTTATCAGTTGGACATTCCGGTTTTTATACTGCTTTTTTTTAATTCACTAACGCTCTAAAAATGAATATTTCAGCCGCAGTAAAGAATCAACGTTGGCGGATTTTGGTTCTTGACATCCTTTACGATCGGTTACGATGAGTAGAGTACGGAGACCTGTACGATTTCGTCAACTTAGTGAGTTTGATAGGGGCCGTATAGTGGGACTTCGGGAAGCTGGACTTTCTTTTCGGGCAATTGCAGTTAGAGTGCAAAGAAGTGTAGACACTGTGGTTAGATGTTGTCAGGCATGGCTTCGAGAAGGCCGTACGCAAAGAGCAAGGGGCACTGGACGCCGCCGTAGAACAACAGACCGTGAAGATCGCCGCCTAAGATTATTGGCCTTAAGGGACCGTTTCTCCACTACCAGGTCCATTGCAAATGAATGGTTTGCAGAACACGGAAGACCTATTGGCATGCGAAGTGTTTACCGACGAATGAGAAGTTTTGGCTTGTTTTCATACCGGCCACACTGGGTCCTCCCTTTAACTCGAGAACACCGACGTAATCGCCTTGAGTGGTGCAGACAACGGTCACTCTGGGATCAGGAATGGAACAATATTGTCTTTAGTGACGAGTCTCGATTTTGTTTAGGCATGCACGATGGTCGTGCCAGGATTAGAAGGCGACGTGGTGAAAGGAGGAATCCACAGTTTTTTGTTGAAAGACATGTTCATCACACTGTTGGAGTTATGGTTTGGGGGCTATAGCTTATGGTTCCAGGTCACCTTTAATCTTCATCAGAGGTAACATGAACGCGCAGCGTTATATCCACGAAGTTCTAGAACCCCATCTTTTACCCTATCTTGACACCCTGGCAGATGCAACTTTCCAACAAGATAATGCCCGACCACATGTTGCAAGAGTCACAATAGACTTCTTTCAACATAATGATGTCACATTGTTACCATGGCCACCAAGATCTCCCGACTTATCCCCAATTGAGCACGTGTGGGATATGATGGGTAGGAGATTGCTCAATTTACAACGTTCTCCTCAGACTCTAGAAGCACTTCGAGAGGAGTTGGTGGTTGCCTGGAATGAGATACCACAGGAGGACATTGACCACCTGATCAGAAGCATGCCTAGGCGCGTTGGAGAATGCGTAGCACATCAGGGTGCATCCACACATTATTAAAGGTCAAAGGGCTTTAAAGCAGTGCAATCATTTTGACATTTTTATCATTTACTTATTATGCTTCATTAAGTACTTATACAAAATTTTATTAAAATAAAACCATTTAAACTGGGTGTTCGGATTTATATGTCACTTAGTATATTTTTCGGGCGATTTTATAGACGATTATCCACACTACTGACCTTGGTGATCCATCAAAAATTGAAATGTGTGAATAGGTCGTCTGGCTTGCGAATGATCCGACTGGTTTTTGATCACAAATCAGCGTCCACAATTTTGTGCGGACTTGTGCACTAGCGATGGAAAAATATGTACTATAAACTAAGATAAAGCTTTCGTCCGTTCGACCAAAAGGCGGCCAACCATGGACAGCTGTTTCGTGCTTCTTGGCTACTCATCAGCATGGTCTAGGCTTGGTCTCTCATCTCGGAATATACAAACGAATACATCGCAACTATCCTCTATCTCGTAGGTACGGTCTATCGAAATATTTTTTTATAATCCTTACAATTCTACTTCGCTCATTAATAGTAGTTCTTCTAACTACAGGTCCTTCTGCCGTGGGGATGAATGCATAAAATTGCTTGGTCCCTGGGATTTTCCAAACTCGATTAAATCGGGGTTCCAGGAAATATTTTTCATGCTGAATGTCTTATCTCGAGCAGTAAACAAATCGTTATTTATAGATTGACCAAATTGAATTTATTTCTTAATATTGTGAACCACATCGGTTATCTACAAGGTGTTAGGGAAATAATATTCGTAACTTTAAAAGGTGATTCCATGGATTATTCTAAGCAGTAAAGTTCATTATAACCCATGTCCGAAAATCAGCCGTTTCGAGAAAAATAATGCTGAACTTATTTCTTTTTAGTCATGAAATAAATTAATTTTGCACCTTAATAATTTGAATACATATTAATAATAGCGTAAAATGTGTCAATACATCTATTTATTAATTAACTGCCTCTAACAAAATAATTTGTTTACTTATTAAATACAATTTTCCGAAGAAAAACAGACAAAATCCCTCACACAACTGGCAACGTCGTACTCCGCCTGCACTGCTTGTATCATCGCGTGTTGCCCACGATCGAATCGTGTTGGTAGGCAAAAAATAAATACCTACATCAGGAAAAAAATTATTTGATAGTTTCTTGGATATGTTAATGCAAGTAATGTTCTGCATATAGAAACATAGTGGGCCGCGCGGATCGAACGTCAGTACTGAATCTTAGTAAACTTAAATTCAAAGTTTCACAACAATACGTGCAGTGTTCTCACTACAGTGAATTTTTAAGTGTCTCCAAATCATTAGAAAAATGGAACTCAACCGAGAACATTTTCGTACCATAATTTATTACAACTTTCAGAGACAATTATCGCAACAAGAATGCCTTGCTGAGTTACTGTCTGTTTTCGGCAACGAAGCACCACATCAGTTGGTATGGAGAATTCATACGTGGACGGGCAAGTCTTAACGACGATCCCAGGGTGGTTGCTCCAAGAAAACGTCGATGCTGTGCGCAAACTCATCATTGAAGATAGACATGTGACATATCGCGAGATTGAGGCGTCCTTGAAGATCTCAAAGACCTCAATTCAAAAAATTTTACATGAAGAATTAGGTGTAAGAAAATGAGTTTCTCGTTGGATACCCCACCTGTTGACTGAAGAGCAGAAAGCAGACAGGGTTAATTGGTGTCAAAAAACGCTTGACCGTTTCAATTCTGGAAAGTCAAAAAATGTGTACAGCATTGTTAGTGGTGATGAATCGTGGATTTACTGTTATGAACCAGAAAATAAACGACAGTGGGGTGTTCCAAGGTGAAGAAAAGCTAACAAAAGTCATCCGTTCTCGAAGTGTTTCGAAAAAGATGGTCGCGACATTTGTGTCAAAAGCGGGTCACATTGCAACAATTCCTCTTAATGAGCAAAGAACTGTTACTGCGGAAAGGTATACCACCATTTGTTTGCCAAAAGTCATCACCGAGCTTCGAAAAATCAACCCCGAAAGAAGAATCATCCTTCACCAAGACAATGCCAGCTCGCACACAGCCCAAAAAACAAGGCAGTATTTAACGGAAGAAAACGTGGAATTATTGGACCATCCTCATCCTCCATCCTATCTATCTATCTATCCCGATCTAAGTCCTAACGCATTCTTTACTTTCCCGAAAATTAAAAACAGCGTTATTAAATAAAAAATATTAGCCACAAAAAATTGCGTAAAAGTATTCAATAATTGAAGGCATATTTTCAACAAAAATATCATACAAACGTAAATAATTCGATGAATCAGTTGCGGTCGTCGTGCGCTCGTATCGCGGTTGCGTTGCCAAATGTTTGAGAAAATTTAATTATTTACGACTCGCTTTCCTCGAAAACGACTGATTTTCGGACATGTTATAATGAACTTTTTTGCTTAGAATAATGCAAGGAGTCACCTCTCAAAGTTACGAATATTATAGCCCCAACACCCTGTATATACATATATACGATTCACAGTTATTGTCAAAATAACTAGCAACTGGAAGATTTGTCTTTAGGGATATCGACAAATTATGCTAAGCGTACTCTTTTGACTTACAATACTCAAGCTTTCGACATACTATGGTGCCATCATCAGGAGTCCGTCAGTGAGATTGGTGCTAGTATTTGATGTTAAAAAGAGAACACATGCAAGGCGATCAAAAAACTGGATTTACGCGGATCCTTTATGGAAAACGATGCCATGTTATGTTTTACTGATATAATACAGAGGAATTGGGACAAACGTTGTTAATTAAATAAATTTTAAAACGTCTCAAAATATCAACGTGGTCAAGGGGTTAGAACTTATGTGTGAAGTTCACAACTCACTTAAATCTGACTCCTATCGCTGCCACGTGTCTCGTCATAGGCGGGGGTTCAGCTCCAACTGACATAGCTAACGAATGATGGATCAGACTTGCAAGCATCTCCACCTTCTCGTAACTGCTGTACTTGATCGTTTCCACTAGTTCGCTGATGAACTGTACCCAGATGGCGTGCGGTTGGACAAATGGCGGGTCCGGAGATAAACTGCAACCTGGCAATGTTGACCGATGAGTTAGAGTTTGATTCGCGGAGAAGAGAGTGGGTTACCGATGAGAGGACAGGAAGTCAGGGATGGGAGGGGTTTCGTGGTCGCTTTGGAGCGGTCTGGAACCAAGGATAAGTTGGTTATCTGGTTATTTCGGGAATGATATAATGAATAGGAGTACACTTCATACCTTCATATGCAGCCAAAGGGTTACACTGCGACACAGTTACCGAAAATAGCCCCAACCTCTTGTGCACGGTACACTTCCATGCAGCTACCATCTCTTGAAGGAATCTCACCTCCAATTCTGGCCTTGACGTGATCAGCCACTGCCAACATTCCACGGCAGTTCGCATGGCGTCTATTGTGAAGAGCTCCACCTAGACAATGCTTTTCTTAAAAAAAGTATCAGGCTCAAAATATACTAAGTGGCATATAGAATGCAACACCCAGAATTATTCAATGAATTTTGATAAAAACTTATTTTTGCTATCATGGAAGTATAGGTAGTAAAGGCTTTTTTGTCATATCAGGATCCGAACAATATGAACATGTTTGCTTAATATTCAGTGACTTTTCTGTGTTGGTTCCATTTGTTTCATTGCATTGTCATGCCTAGAGTTCGCAGACGCGTTAATTTCACTCAACTTTCCGAGTTTGAGACGGGTCGTTACGTGAAGCAGGATTTTTAAATCGGGTGAATCGAAATCTGCTTAACTGGCTTCCTCGATCACCAAATTCAGAACGCCTGGGATCCAATACACCAAGAAGACATCAATCACCTAATCCAATCAATATGCGACGACTTAACGAATGTGTAGCGAACAGAGGAGCTTCAACACATTATTAACATTAAGGGGGATCTCTTAGCTATTTTGCGAAATTTCGAGTTAAGATTTCAATCACTCTCTATTTATCAGTAGACCTAAAAGTATGCTCAAAATTGCAGCACTAGTCCTAGTCGGTGTTGCATTTTCTATGTCATTTATATTATAAATATTAAGAGTTCAGTTGGCCTAATTATTGAAATCTTAGTTTTTTCTTATCAAACACAAATAATTAAAATGTAGCAGGGTGTTATAGGTTTAAAATATTAAAAATGAATATTTTGATAATATATAGTAGAAAACACCAACATTATCACTCCCTAATCAAATTTGCAGCATAAAAATAACACTTGTTGCAATTACAGCATATCAACCTATTTTCATTTCAATGCAAAATAAGTCTATAACGCATAGGTGGCTGTGAAAAATAAAAGCCATGACAATTGTTCCTATTAATCACAGCTGTCAGAATACGTTTAAAATAGTTTTGGATAGTTAAGGTTTTCAAAATGGGTAGAGGAAAGGTTATTAGTGAGAAAATTCGGTTACTGATAACTAAATTTTTTAATTCTGAGAAATCAAACTCAGAAATTGCAACTTTGTTAGACTTATCGCGGTACAGTATGAGAAATATTGTTAGAAGATATAACGTAACTGGTTCAGTTAATATTAAGCCACGATATGTGAAAAAAAGTAAAATCACAAATGCCGACCGAAGAGCATTAAGAAGAATAATCGTGAAAAACAGGCGTGCCAATTATTTACAATTAAGTGCTCTGTGGAGTGACGCTGTTGGAAGGAGAATTTCGAGGTCCACTACTCATAGAGAGGCCCACAAACTGGGATTTAGCACTTACAAGGTAAGTTTTCTTATAAAAAAAGTGAAGTAAAAACCCTAAAGTTGCACTACTTGTTTATAGGCCAAAGAAACGCCACTATTAACTCCACTGCAAAAGAAAAATCGGCTTAGATGGGCTAAAGAACATAGATAATGGACACCTCAACAATGGTGTGCAATACAATGGAGTGATGAGGCCCGATCCGAAGTTTGTGTTGGTGACAGTCGCAGTAGAGTTATTCGCAAAAAAAATGGAGCATTCCATGTTGACTGTTTGAAGAAAAAAGTGAAATTTCCAGCATCCATTATGGTCTCCATCAAACGGAGTAGAAAAACTTCATTTTATTGATGGAAATGTGGATACAAACAAATATTTGGCAATTTTAGAAGAATCGCTTTTACCAGTGATGGAAGAATGTTTGACATCCGGTCAAGATTTTGTGTTTCAGAAAGATGGTGCAGCGTGCCATACCTCAAAAAAGGCTATAAAATGGATGGAAGAAAACAATGTACCACTTTTGAAATGGGTTTCTAGCAGTCCAGATCTGTCACCTATTGAAACTTTGTGGCACGATATGAAAAAGGTTCTACGACAACATCCTGCTCGTACAATCACCGAACTGAGACAAAAGCTTCAAGAAGTATGGGACCGTTTTACACCAAATTTTTGCCAAAACTTGGTTAACACTATGCCCCAAAGAATTTCAGCCGTAATAAAAAATAAAGGTGATGTTACCCAACGGTAACCTTTCAATTGTTGCTTTGTTAACTTAGCGCATTTATTCGCACATTGTTTATTTGTTACAAATCTTGAAGTGGGCCAACTGAAGTGGGAAGGGGCTCGTATATACGAATTTTCATTTTTGACTGGTGGTCAAATTCCATATGTTTTGTTCCTGGTACTTTGAGTGTTACGATAAATGAACGCTACCAATTATTAACTCCCCTCATGTAATAATTTAATAACACCAACCTGTGACCAAGCTATGCAGTGCAAAAGTTTACGGTTCTGCTCTTTCATGGAGATCAGCAGCGCGGTCGCCTGCCAGAGGGTGTCTTTGTGCAATGCATCGGAGTGCTCTTTACACGCGTGCCAAACTTTCTGTATCAAGAAGTCAGACAGTTTTGATTTGTCTTCGTAAACGCTTTGCATACCGATTACCTGCGAAATAATGACAAAATCACTGATGAAAAAACATTACTTTTTTTCGTAACCAAGCACCTACTAAAGGGTTTTCTATTAAGGACTTGACAACTTTCTTTTTAACAGATTTTTGCCTAAAGAGTTGCAAAAAAAGTTTTTTTTTATTATTTTTTAAAAAACCTTATTAATAGACGACACTTTGGAGGTATTTTCAAATTATTCTAAAAAAAATACATAAACAGTAAGTTTTTTAGGATGTACTATACATAGTACATTAGGAATAAAGGTAGCTATAAGAAAAAATATTGAAAATAGTACTAATATTTTGAAACACATCAATATTGCAAATTTTAAAGAGTATGATATTGAACAAAACATTTCACGTGAAGGCCGACATCACATTTTCTACATCTAGTAGTCTTGAGCTCATGACAGTGTGCACACCTTGTTTGTTTGCCTGGTGGAATGACTAAACAATCTAAGCGATCATACCTTATGTCACCAAAATTTCTTGATTTACCTTGCTGGTACGTATTATTTTGTGTTAAGATAGTTGTAGCTACACTTCTTCTAAATTGTAATTGATCCACGTTATGTTCTCTCTTTTTATAAATATGCTAGGCGTTTGTCAGGGCCATATCTACACATTGAGAGATCAACGAGAAATACCATTTTTTGCCTCGGATTTGTACTCTGTATTGAGCTATATTCTGGTCTGACCTATCCACCTCGCCCATACATTTATTATACAGCTTGACAACTTGGGGCTGATCTACATACACAAACTTTTTTCTTTTTGAGAATACCGCTTTACTGAATTTACCGGTTCAATTCCCATCGCTGTAGACCCAAAAGTTACAATATTGTTGTCATTCCATTTTACAAAAATTAAGTTTTTATCTTTTACTTTGGTATAATCAAACACTCCAAGTTGTTCCTTTTTCATAAGTTTTGAATTTTTCAAAGAAGACATGGGTATACGATTTTCACGAATTGTTCCTGTACCACATATGCCTTTTTCAGTCAAGCTTTGAAACAAAGCTGGCGAAGAAAAAAAATTATCAAATACAAAATAAAAACTAAAATTTGCCCATTTGCTTTTTAGCCTATCAGCATAGCTCAATACAACTGATGCGCCAACACCTAAAGATTTGTAAGCCGCGTTCTCATACGTCGAAGCACCCTGATAAGGTTCAAACCATAAGATGTAAAGAAGAGTAGTAGCGCCAACCCAAAATTTGAACCCATAACGTATTGGTTTCCCGTGGATATACTGTTTACAACCATGTCACCCGTTGTATGGAACCATTGCCTCATCGATACTATGATGCTCTTCTGGTACTGCGTATTCCAAAAATTTTTTATTTAAGTGATTGAAAAGACGCCTTAGTTTAGCAAATTTATCATTTGCATCCAGAGCTTCATTGTTTAGGAAGTGAATGTGAGGCATTATAAATTCAAATTTATCGCGAGAAATAGCTTCAGAAACAAGTGAGTTGTGTGAATCACTGGATTTTTCCCAATACATCCTTCTGCGAGATGCACTGCTGTAGCCACTCAACAATACTATGCCTAGTAAACATTTGATTTCAGGTTTGGTAACCATAATATTCCTGTTTTTGTGTTGAGCATACCGATTTGTCTCCTCAACTATTTTTAGAATTTCGTCATCAAAAAAACTAAAAAGTATCTCGGTTGGGGACTGCTCTTGTTCATTTTGATTTTCGTTGTTTATTGGAAACGCTTACTCATTTCTTGGCAAATCTTCTTTTACGTAATTATATGTTTTCTTCTTTTCCTTCCGATTATTACCCCTGATTTCACTTTCATCTTCTGAACTCCACATATCCTCGTTTTGATTCTTATTTACTTCGACTTCAGCTTGCGTTAAGCTTCCTGGCAAGTTGTTGATATCCAGTCTTTCTTCGTCTCCAGAATCCTCGTCGGTTATGTTATGCATTAGTGGGAGGTAACAGAGTGATAGACTCAGCTTCAATGTCGTCATCTTCTATCATTGCTAGCGCCTCATGCAAAGAAAAACCCCTGAAACAAATGTTCCTTCTCAAAATAATTACTTATTCAAAAATAATTTACCTAAAACCATTTCATTTTTGTGTTGACTATGAACATATTCGCAGACCCCTTTTTTCCTGATGAACTAAATATAGTACACCTAACTTTATTATAACCTCACAAACGAAGCATAAATGAAACACATCATAAAATCATAAAATCTAGAAGCCGCAACTAAAGAAATAATATTTTCATAAAAATAAACTAGTTTATTTTTTATTTTATGTCATAAAAAACCTACTTACTTTGCAAAGCGCACGTCATATTCATTCATCTTCTATTTTCCAATATACAAAAACTGATTTCACATACAAAATATTGCACAATACGCAAAATTACTCCGTACTGTACGAGATCCACCCGCAAACTGTCGCCGCGAGCTATTCAATTTAACCAAATCGTACAGATATCTACAGGAACAAACAAGTTTAGGCTGTACTATTCATAGTACATTAGGCATAAATGGGTTAAATAAAACGAAAACCATTTGAGATATTTAGAAAATTTTATTATTGGATTGAAGTATACTCAAAACACTATATTTGGAATTCGACCTCGTTCATATGTCCACCACGGGCACGCTCGCAGCGATCGATTCGTTGAACCCAATTTTCAATGACTCGGTCACACATTTCGACAGAAACGGCAGCTATCTCACGTTCAATATTGGCTCTCAGCTCCTCTAACGACGCCGGCTTGTTGGTATAGGCCAATGATTTAACGTAGCCCCACAAAAAAAGTCTAGAGGTGTTAAATCGCACGATCTAGGCGGCCATTTTTCGATATAACACGTTCACCGAATTTTGTTTTCAATATGTCGATTATTTCACCCGCTGTGTGGCTTGTGGCACCGTCTTGTTGAAACCACATATCATTAATGTCTAGCCCATCCAATTGGTCAAAAAATAACGTTGCAACATGTCTCTGTAGCGATCTCCGTTGATTATAATGTGAAGGTCATTTTCATCAAAGAAAAAAAAAACGGCCCAATGACACCACCGGTATGAAACCCACACCAGACAGTTATTTTTTGTGGATGAAGTGGTGTTTTTTGAAGCACATGACGGTTTTCAGCTGACCAATAACGCATATTATGTTTGTTGACAAAGCCGTTTAGCAAGAAATGCGCCTCAACACTGAAGCTGATTTTGCGATGAAATTGGTCATTTTCTTGCAACATTTCTAGAGCCCAATTCGAAAGCGTACGTCGGATCATATGATCGAACGGCTTTAGTTCTTGAGTTAACTTAATTTTATACGGGTGCAGCCCAAGATCTCTTCGCAGAATTCGCGATAGTGTGGTCTGAGCAATGCCCAATTCTTGAGAACGCTGTGTTCTGTTCCTTTGCGACGGAACCTTAAACTGCAGCAATATTCTCGGCACTTCGACCAACCCGTTGTCTCACTGGTACGGGAACATCCAGCAGCCAATAAGTGGTCTCAAATTGTTTTTACTAGACCATGAATTGCTTGTTTACTGGGACGAGAATTACGACCAAAAATTGGCGTTAACGCTCTTAAAGTTGCAGTCACCGACTCGGAATTTCGGTAGTAAATTTTAATTATTTGTAAGCGTTGTTCGTTCGTGTGCTTCACCATGTGTTTTTGGACTTCAAAGGGGCGTTTGAGACTATTCACAGGGATAAATTACTAACAAAATTGCATCACTACGGATTTAAAGGATATGTATTCAAAATTCTACAAAACTATTTGATTGACAGAAGTCAAAAAACCAAAATTGAATCCGCATTATCAAGATCAAAAAATATTTCTGTTGGTATACCACAAGGCAGTAAACTAAGTAGACTACTATTTATTTTATACATTAATGACATTTGTAATATTTTAGATTATTGTAAACTTCAGACAAACAAAATGTATGCTAATAGGATACCTAATCACATCACAGTTAGGATAAATGGAGAGATAATTTAAAATGTTGAATCAATTAATTATTTAGGAATATATGTATATATATTGATAGTAAACTAAAGTTTGAGGATCACTATGAATACATTATTTGAAAAATTGTCAAAAAAACAAATTACTTTTATAAGGCTCCTCATAGTCTTGGTACCAAGAAAATAGTTTATAATACAATTATTCTACCGCATTGACTATATTGTTCAACTATCTTGTTCACTGCCAATGAAGTTCTGTATTCTCAAAATTACAAGTCTTGCGAAACAAAGCTATGAGAATAATATTGAATAAAAATAAGTACACCAAAATAAAATGTACGTTACAAGAATTGCAGTGGTTGCATATAAAAAATCATATCATATTTGGTTCTTATTTTTATATTTAAAGTAAAAAATCATCTTTTGCCAGAACATTTAGAACACTACATAGAATTGAATAATCATTACCACAGTTATTATACAAGAAAAAATATAGATTTTCATTTAAAAAATTGCAATAGTAATATCACTAGCAAATCAATATTTCAGAAAGGATTACTTGAATTTAATAAAGTAAATAATGATATAAAGTCTACTTGTAATTTAAAGATATTTAAAAGAAAATTAAAGGAATATTTCATGGACAAGGAAAATTCTTAGAGATGCAAATTTTGTTTTTTTTCTGAATATCTGTATGTTATGTAATTGTTGTAGTTGTTTAAAAGAATGTAATTGTAGCAATCATGCCAAATAAATATTAAACAAACAAACTGATGAAAATGTTTTATTTACTGAATGTCTTGACAGTGACAGTTTGGTAATTGATTTAAAGGTGCGTCACAGTGAAAGTTCAAAGTTGTCAAGGTCCTATTGGAAAACCCGATAGTATATAAGCGAAACCAAAACATTATTTTGAAAAATGTGTTTTAAAAGGAAAATTTTAACGGGCAAACGGAGCACTTTTGCATAGAGGTAAATCATGTCCAATCAACTCATTCCGAGTCTAAAAATACGTGGTAGGGAATATTGGGACATCGTGTATAAAATAAATGAAAATTCTATTTCTTACCTCACCGATATATTTATTTCGCATAGTTGACGTTAACAAGAGCCTACAAGTGTCACTTTTCACGCACTTCGCTCTCTTTTCGAGCATCGTGGTACTCAGCGGCGAGCTGAACGAATTTTGCGGCCCCCATTGCACCAACGATTCGATAGCCATGGATAAGCCGGAGTGGTACCAGTCGGAAGTGGGGACTTCGTTCACGTATTCCAACAAATGTGAACGGGTCCATTGCGGGGCCCATTTCATCGCCTCTTTGATGATCCGTTCAGAGTTTTCCGCGAAGTCTTTCACGATCGCCTGGAAAAAAAATGGCGTCAAGCGTAAAAGGGTAGGTAGGTTCACTTAAGTACGATCTTCGACTTCTACAGAAACATGTGACTCATTATGTCTAAACGGTCACAACCATTTACCGCATTCTGCAACAATAACTCTAAATTTGCAACATTAAATTTATAAGATATAATATTAGAAGAAAACAAGATCTTAAATTGGTAAAACCTCAATCAACACGTGAAAGACTCGATAATTTATAATGGTCTCCCTGATGCCCTCAAAAGAATTAACAAGTTAAAGTTATTCCACCGGGTACTTAAAAACATTTTAATACGTAAATCATATTACGTGCGAGTTCTACAATTCCCCTTAAGATCCACATACAGGGTGGCCCAACGAAAAGGTCGCACCCCCACTTGTGACTCTCCTAGTATATTTTGGGAAAAATGCTCCTTAGCTGTCACTAACTCTTCCAAAAAACGTGTGCAAGTATTCTTGGTAGAAAAATGTTATTACTCAGTTAATGACTTTGTATGAATTTTATCAAAATTTTGTGTTTTATTGTGCATAATCTCATTTTGTATTTTAATAAATGCTGTAATCTGTATTTTGATGTGTCATATACGCGAAATTAACATGAATAAAAGTTATTACTATTATTATATATGAATCCAAAAAATACTCGCTCATTAGTCACGAAATTTCAAAAACTATTCGACCTATGAACATGAAATTTGGTAGGGGGTAGTTTAAGGACAGGACGTATCAGTTAAAAATGGATTTCTCAACAGAGTTAAGCGCAAATGTACAGGGTGTTCCTTAATAATATGCGAATATTTAAGGGTATGGATCTACATGAAAAATTAATGTTAGTTTGCTTTATAAACTATGGTCCAAAAATGTTTCCTTACAAAAACTCGTTGTGTTGAAGTTTTAGGAAGAAAATTTAAATTAATTAATATTTTCAGAACCGCTCCAGATATTTCACTGATATTTAGTAAGCGGTGAAAGTTAATCAAGTTGCATATTTGTCAATGCAAAAATAATTTTTAGATTTAACAGTGGCGTGCGTATGGGTATTGACTTCGATATTTTTTAAGGAAAAAATGGTACGCCAATGGTTTTCTGCCAAATAAAAATTATTTTTGAATTCCCCATTCAATTTAAAACAAATGATCTCTCTTGAATTGTTTTACTTCGATGCGTCATTTTTGAGTAAAAAAATAAAAACTGTTCTATTGTCTAACTTGCAAAATTATTATTAATTTAATTGGAAAAATTAAACACAATGGGGTAAAACCAACGAAATGATTACAAAAATTGTTGAAAATGGCCCCCTTCACTTAGTATGCATGCTTCCGCCCTCCTCATGGAATTGTGCACTCGTTGAAATATCCATGGAGTGTTTTTTATTCTATCATAAGCTGCAACTATTCTTTCTCTTAATTCCTCTACAGTTTCAATGGGACTTGTGTACACTAGTGTCTTAAGATAGCCCCACAAAAAGAAATCTAAACTGTTGAGGTCTGGGGACCTTGGTTGCCATTCTTGGGGCCCATCGCAGCAAAAGCAACTGTTGTAGAAGGAAATTGAGGGAAGTCTGTCCGTCAAGTCGTCCCGGCAAGAAGAATGGGCCAACAAAGTGGTTGACAATAATTCCTGCCCATACGTTAACCGAAAATTGGTGTTGGAAATGGGTTTCGGTTATGGCATAGGGATTTGTTTCTGCATTTCGAGAAAAATTAGCTTCGTCTGTGAACACAATCATTGATTCAAATTGCGGATTTTGTGTAATTTTTTGAAGATACCACTGACACAAGGTCACACGCCTTGGAAAATCAATGGGAAGTAATGCCTATACTCTCAAAATATGGTAAGGATATAACAAAAAATCCACTAAAATTCTCCAAACAATTTGATGGCAAATATTTAAGTGTCTAGCGATTTTCCTCGTACTCGTTTCAGGATGTTCTTCGACTTCGTGCAGAACTGGTTCCTCAATTTCAGGTGTTCTCACACTTAGAGGTCTACCTTCAGATATTCCTTTTCGGACAGAAACAGTTTCAACAAGACGACGATGAATATTAAAAAAGTTTCGACTATGTGGCAAAGCACGATCGGGATATCTCTGGTGATAAATCCGTCTGGCTTGCTCACCATTACGGTCGGCAAGGCCATATAAGTAATGCATTTCCGCAATTTCTGCATTTGAATAATTCACCATTATTAACAGGATTGTAAAAACTAAATAATGAAAAAGATGTCACAGCGAACAGATATGAATAACAGAGACTTGTCAGATGTCAAAAGCCAGTGACATATTCCAGAGCAACTAGATATTTATTGCTAAATTGCATTCTTCAATTATTACATTAATTTTCTCGGACAATAGAACGGTTTTTATTTTTTTACTCAAAAATGGCACATCGAAGGAAAACAATTCAAGAGAGATCATTTGTTTTAAATTGAACGGGAAATTCAAAAATAATTTTTATTTAGCAAAAAACCATTGGCGTACCATTTTTTTCTTAAAACATATCGAAGTCAATGCCCGTACGCACGCTACTGTTAAAGCTAAAAATTATTTTTGCATTGAAAAATATGCAACTTTATTAACTTTCACTACGTACTAAATATCAGTGAAATATCTGAGGCGGTTTTGAAAATATCAATCAATTACCATTTTTTTCTTAAAACTTCATCACCCTGAGTTTTTGTAAGGAAACATTTTTGAACCATAGTTTATTAAGCAAACTAACATTAATTTTTCATGTTGATTCACACCCTTAAATATTCGCATATCATTAAGCTATTTTTTGAAAGCCAATGTCACTCTGTATGTAATTATGTAACAGTTTAATTTTAAGTTGGCTTTGTCATTAAGACTGACTGTATTCTTCAGATTTGGCTAGCCTGTTAATGTAAAAAATTAATCAGTGACGTTTCTTACCTCTCTAGCTTCCATGGTGTCCATAAGTTGAATTGTATATGGCGTCTGAGGTATCCTTAACGTGGGAGTTTCTTTGTTTGGATCAATTTGCAAGGAATGAGAGAGAACTTGGAGGATATCCAACATCGTCCACAGTACCCTAGAATACAAAAAAACCTTTTTTATTTAAAATAGGATGAGTGAGTAGTTGATGTCTCACCTTCTGCTCCAAAGAAGGTGAGGAAAGCGATCTACCAGACTCGCTAAGAACTTATCAGACAACCTACGAATCTGCTTATGTTGATGATTGAAATTCACTAGCAAAAACTGCGCATGTTGTTCCAAATCAGCTTCACGTACTTCGTCCTTTGGCCTGTCTTTCATCACTTCCAAAAATTTCTCGAATACTCGTTCACTTACAGAAGATACACAGTTCCACATCCCCGCTTTATCTTTTTGCAGCGCGGAATCACAGAGGTAGTCAGATATTATTGGAACGAGGCTTGGCTCTCCAGAATGCTGCACTCTGAAAAAAAAAATCATAGTATTTTTTCTTTTTAACGCGCTTTTATTAGCTTGATCTGGATGTATCTAGGTACAATACAGGTCGATTTTGAGAATTTTTTGAAAAATCGAATTTTCTAATTTGGGAAAAATTCGATTTCAAAATTTATATAATATATAACAATTTGTATTTAGAAATTATGAAAAAAATTGGAAACTTTGAAAAAATGAAAACATTGTTTTTTTGGAAATTTCGAAATTTAAAAAATTCAAAATATATCAAAAAAGGAAGCTCTTTTGTTGTCAGTTGGGTAATCAATGTACATGATTTTTAAAATCAATATCTCCATTTTTTAATCAAGGGAGCATTGAATAGTCATAAATGTTGCATTATTTACAATAAAAGTTAAGATATTTTTATCTTACCACTTTTTGATGATTGTATATCACTGTCAATGTTTGTCTCAATTTTATTTGTATCAATTTCTTGCCAAATTATTGTGGTATTGACACAAAGAAATATGAATTTACCATTTATATTTAGGTCGTTGATACTGATATATTCTTTGAGGTACAACTGCATGTATATTGAATTTTATTGAAATAAAACTTCTCGGTACTTTTATAATTTCGATTACAATATTTTAAATATAGGGTTGTCCAATAGGGACGCAGGAAAGTAAATGTCAATTTGACATAGACGCCATCTTTGTTTTCTGTCACCGACATGTCATTTTGTTAGTTGAATGTTTACCATTGATCGCTATGGAGTCGTATTCGATTGAAGACCGCATTAAAGTTATTCAAAAGCACTACAAAAATGGTGCAAAAATAAAAAACACGTTTCGCGCGCTTCGTGAACATTTCGGTCGCAACAACCGCCCAAACGAAACAACCATCGGTCGTCTGGTGCGTAAATTCGAGGCAACAGGTTCTGTGGCAAATCTGCCAGGCTCTGGCCGGCCAAGGAGCGTTCGCACACCGGAAAATATTGCTGTTGTGAAGGAGAGTGCGAGAGACGATCCGAAACAATCAACGACGCGTCGATCCCAAGAATTGGGCATTTCGAGAACCAGTTTGCTCCGCATTCTCCACGAGGATTTGAATGTACACGCCTACAAGATCCAATTGACGCAAGAGCTGCGTCGGGCCGACCATTTTTCGCGCCGAACGTTCTGAGATTGGCTCCTTGAACACCGCCAAATTGATGCCAATTTTTCATCAAAAATCATGTTCAGCGACGAAGCGCATTTCACTTTGAATGGGACGGTAAACTAGCAAAACTGCCGCATCTGGGCGAACGAAAATCCCCGAGAGTATCAAGAGCAGCCGATGCATCCTCAAAAAGTGACTGTGTGGTGTGCATTGTGGTCAAAAGGCATCATCGGACCTTACTTTTTCGAAAATGCGGCCGGGGACGCCGTTACCGTCAATTCTGAGCGATATCACGTGATGATAGAGGACTATTTTTTGCCGCAACTTGAAGGAATGGATATGGACGATGTTTATTTCCAACAAGACGGTGCAACATGCCACACAACCAACGTCAATATCCATCGATTGCAGTCCTTCTTCGGTGATCGCGTGATTTCGCGCAGAGGAAATGTGCCATGACCACCAAGATCGTGCGATTTGACTCCCTTGGACTTCTTTTTATGGGGATATTTGAAAAGCAAAGTCTACGTCAACAAACCAGCCACCCTCCAAGAACTCAAAAACAACATCATTGCCGAGATAAATGCCATAGAACCGACCATGTTGCAAAATGTCATTGAAAAGTCGTGGTGAACATTTGAGCGATATTATTTTTCATACATAAATGGTATAAATGAACCTTCAAAATAAAGTACCCAACTTGATTTGAATATCAATCTTTCTTGTTTTAATATGCGTTTACTTTCCTGCGTCTGTTTTGGACAACCCCATACATTGGTTCGAGTTCATCGACATTTGTTAGTTGCTTCGAAATCCGATTGTTATAGGGATGGTTTTGGGGGAAGAATACCTTACGTCTTTTTGGTACTAACCTCAAAGTTTCGACCCAGTATACGCTCAACAGAAACGTGCACTGCGCGAACGATAGCTTATTCACATAAGCAGTTACGTCCGCAGGATGCTTCAGCAGGTCCAAAATTTGCGTCCTCAATTCTTGCAGTTCGTTCACAGAAACGCTCTCGTTACGAACGGCACTCGTGTATTGAAGTTCGCGCATCTCTGACCGACTAGATGTCGGTGAAATTAGAGCTGGAGACTTTACCGCTATTTCTTTAACGCCTTCGTACCATTCTTGAGGCCACAACCCTAAAACAAATGGAAGAAATTAATTAATATACGTGGTATTATAGAATGATGTCAAAAAATATTCTCTCATTCGGAGAAGCAGCCGAAAAGTAATTAAATTTCTCATTAGCCTAAAAATAGTTTTCCGACAGCAAATAACACGTACCCGAATCAGCAGCTGTGAATCCCATAATAACGCAGTACAACCAAAAATCCCTGAACAGCTTATGAATTCTTGGTTTTGGGTTCTTGATAGGCGGCAGCCTCCTCAAAAGTACAGCTATCACTGGTATTAGAACGCCTAAATTTCCTGCTGAACTAGACGCCTTCACACCTTAAAAATAAACAAGTTCAGACAGAGATAAAAACTTGTTCAGACTTCAGTACCTGGTGATTTGTCACTAGCTCTTTTCCCCTCCAATCCTAACTGTACAAACAGTTCTAACAATCTCCCAAGTAGTTCGTTCATTTGGGCTTCACCCTGAATATTATCAGCAATGTTAGCTAAAGCGTTTATCACTGCTCTGGAAACATGTCTGAAACGTTACAAAATAGCATCAAGTAGGGTGACTCTGTACTTGCCTCAAGATATAGTAATAACTCAAACTCAAATATATATTTTTGGCAGCGCTTTAAATATACACCAGAAAGTGAATAAAAACAAAAATGGAAGTAAATACGTCGTACTTTCCAAATCAAGGGTCGCGAGGGTTAAGGACATTGGTGAGACCTGGATCAAAAAACACTTGCCTATATTGTGTCCTGTCCTGTCCCGAGCTACCATAAGCAGCACTGGCGCTCTCCACAGTGATCATGGTGAACATCTTCATTACAACCTCGTGTATGTTCGGATCGCATCTAGAAATCACCATACATCCCAACTGATCTACTATAAGAGCATCGAGGGCAGATGGCACTCTGCAGAAACGCTGTTGGAAGAAATGAAGGATAGTGTCTGCAGTCTTGGGGGTGCCTTTCATCGAGACAGCGACGTGGCCCAGCATTATCACTATGTTGGTTGATATCACGGTTGATTCGCTGGAAGGTAATAGTAATAGTAATATTCGCATGCTTCTTGATTTTCGGATTCTTGATTATTTTGCGAGTATGAATATCAGAAAACGATAATATGGAAATGATGTTACGTACTTGAATAAAACAACAAATATAAGTTTTTTTGCTACGGAGGATGTGGTAATAGATAAACAAAAACTTGATGCTTCACATAAACTTTTTCCTAGGTGTTGTAAACAATCGGATATTTCTCATTAGAGAACATAAGTTTCGTTCATTTTGATGGTGAAGTGAACCAGTCGAAACGGAGATGAGACTGTCAAAGTCTGGCTCACTTCACAGTTCAAAAATTACAGCTGCGCTAAGTAAACTTGATCATATAATCTAAAAATTACATTTTTATTTTATCATGGAGTTGCACTCAAGATAAACATTTTATTAGTTAGCTTGCATCAATCGCCACAAAAGTATAATTGTAAGCAAAGTTAAAAGTCCCACAATTTGAATTTGGTGGACTTTGCACGTAGAGATATTCTATGTAAAACGAACGCAAATAATTTTGGAATAACAACTTCGAACAAACAAAAACATACTCTTTTTACCTTTACGTTTTAAAAATAAACATATTCTTCTCACACAGTCTTTCTGGAAAAGAAATGTTTTTTTTGAACAGTTGTTTTTACAACATGGAAAATTTTACCCAAATTCAAATCTCGATATTTTCGGAAACGAGAATATGTCGATACTGACCACATTTATAATGTTCTTAAATATTATCCCCGACTTTCCCTGTAAGCCTCTATAATTGTGTAAAGTAGTAAAAGTTACCTGTCACTTTTCTCAGCTGTGAACAACCGATTCGACACAGATGCCACCAATGCTCTGACACAATCAGGGTCAATAGTGTGAGCCGCGCTTAACGCATAACACAGGTTTTCGATGGCAGCATCTCGCAGCTTTTCGAAAGCTGCTTGGACTGGAGATATATTTTTGGCACATTCCACTTTCAAATCATTACCTACAGCTGAAAGCGTCATGGTGATAAGAATTCTCAATACAGGGTGTTTCAGAACTATGGGATCAAACTTATAGGGGTTTTTTCTGTGTAACAGTGGAAAACATTTGAGTATAGGGACCCATATCCGGAAAAGTGTCACTACTGCACTACGGTCCTAAGACGCATTAAAATTTAGAAAGACGATGAATTTCCTAAATAGGATTTGATGCATTTAATTTTTGCCTTTTGTACATGATATCATCACAACAATTGTTCAAAAGTCTTCCTCCAACCTCCCTAAAAATTTTATACTCGTTTTGAATGATTTCAAATGCTGCTGTAATCCATCCAATTAAGTCTTGCTCTGTTTCTACTGGAGTTTCCTAAACCAAAGACTTTACATGTCCCCGTATTCAGGTTGGGGGAAGACATTTTGAAGAATTCTTGTGATGATATCATGTACAACAGGCAAAAATTAAATGCATTAAATCCTATTTAGGCAATTCATCGTGTTTCTAAATTTTAACGCGTCTCAGGGCGGTAGTGCCGTAGTGACACTTTTCCGGATATGGGTCCCTATACTCAAAGGTTCTCTACTGTTACACTGAATAACCCCTAGAAGTTGTATTCGTTATCAGATATTGAAAAAAAAAAAATAAGCAGTCTAAGACGAAAATGTTGGTTTAAAAAATTGCAGTCAAACTTTGCCAGCAGATTAGAAAAAATTAATGTCAAAATGATTATTAAATATTTTGCTTTTCTGTTAGAAATTTTCCAATGAGGCCAAAATTATAAATATCAATAAGTCCGAGGAACTAGAGAAAACAAAATCAATGAATAATCTGGCAAATAGTCCTGAAAAAAGTATATTTGTTGTATAATTATTTTCAAGGTACACAGTTTCGAGGAAGCATCCAAACGCAAAACGAAGTCAGGCCAGAAATAACGTGATTCTTTGTTCAACTCAAGCTTTCAAAATAATTTATTTTATTCGTCAGGACATAAGCGTGAAGGCAAGTCCTGTTTCAGGATGAGCAACCAAAAAAATGAAAAATGGAGGACCCATTAATTAAAGTATATCAAAAATGCACAGGTCACAAAATAAAATATACTAAGTGACATATAAATCCGAACACCCAGTTTAAATGGTTTTATTTTAATAAAAGTTGATGAATGTATTTATCTTACTGTAAATAACAAGTGAAAAAATTTTCAGCCTTATCAGTTGGACATTCCGGTTTTTATACTGCTTTTTTTTTAATTCACTAACACTCTAAAAATGAATATTTCAGCCGCAGTAAAGAATCAACGTTGGCGGATTTTGGTTCTTGACATCCTTTACGATCGGTTACGATGCCTAGAGTACGGAGACCTGTACGATTTCGTCAACTTAGTGAGTTTGATAGGGGCCGTATAGTGGGACTTCGGGAAGCTGGACTTTCTTTTCGGTCAATTGCAGTTAGAGTGCAAAGAAGTGTAGACAGTGTGGTTAGGTGTTGTCAGGCATGGCTTCGAGAAGGCCGTACGCAAAGAGCAAGGGGCACTGAACGCCGCCGTAGAACAACAGACCGTGAAGATCGCCGCCTAAGATTATTGGCCTTAAGGGACCGTTTCTCTCCACTACCAGGTCCATTGCAAATGAATGGTTTGCAGAACATGGAAGACCTATTGGCATGCGAAGTGTTTACCGACGAATGAGAAGTTTTAGCTTGTTTTCATACCGGCCACACTGGGTCCTCCCTTTAACTCGAGAACACCGACGTAATCGCCTTGAGTGGTGCAGACAACGGTCACTCTGGGATCAGGAATGGAACAGTATTGTCTTTAGTGACGAGTCTCGATTTTGTTTAGGCATGCACGCTGGTCGTGCCATGGTTAGAAGGCGACGTGGTGAAAGGAGGAATCCACAGTTTTTTGTTGAAAGACATGTTCATCACACTGTTGGAGTTATGGTTTGGGGTGCTATAGCTTATGGTTCCAGGTCACCTTTAATCTTCATCAGAGGTAACATGAACGCGCAGCGTTATATCCACGAAGTTCTAGAACCCCATCTTTTACCCTATCTTGACACCCTGGCAGATCCAACTTTCCAACAAGATAATGCCCGACCACATGTTGCAAGAGTCACAATAGACTTCTTTCAACATAATGATGCCACATTGTTACCATGGCCATCAAGATCTCCCGACTTATCCCCAATTGAGCACGTGTGGGATGGGTAGGAGATTGCTCAATTTGCAACGTCCTCCTCAGACTCCAGAAGCACTTCGAGAGGAGTTGGTGGTTGCCTGGAATGAGATACCACAGGAGGACATTGAACACCTGATCAGAAGCATGCCTAGGCGCGTTGGAGAATGCGTAGCACATCAGGGTGCATCCACACATTATTAAAGGTCAAAGGCAGTGCAATGATTTTGAAATTTTCATCATTTACTTATTATGCTTCATTGAGTACTTATACAAAATTTTATTACAATAAAACCATTTAAACTGGGTGTTCGGATTTATATGTCACTTAGTATACTTATCAATAAGAACACTAATATTAAAAAACTATAAAATTATGTAATTTCGATAGTATCAGTTTAACCAGCGGTTGCTGAATGAACGAAAATTCTGTGCAAATTTTCTGCCTGTCTAGAGATCTGGGGTTTTAATTTTACCTAGACACCTAACAACGATATGGTGCTTATAATGGTGTTACTATTATTTTCTGTACAAAGTCAACGCATTTATAAATCTTCTTATCAATGAATTCCAAGAAAACAAACAATTTAAATAGCATAGTCCAACTCAAGGCTATACAATACCACTGCTCTAAAAACATAATTTTGCCGTTTCTACGTAGTCGTGCCATAAGTTCTGTCCCATGATAATCTCATGATAAAAATGAAACAAGATAAGATATATTTATATGAAAGATATTATTTATTCGACAACATTTTTAGAATTCATAATCAAACAGTTTTATTCAAAATGTCCCCCCTTGGCCTTCACACACTGCTTCAATCTCGCGGGCCACTCATCTATCACTGCACGCACAGCTTCCAAAGGAATAGCTGCCGCTGATCGGATCAAATCCGCTTTCAGGGACTCGATATTACGGTGGGCTTTGGAGCAGGCCAACTGCTCTAGCAGGTCCCACAACTTGTAGTCTAAAGGATTGAGGTCCGGACTCCCTGAGGGCCAATCTTCCGCAGCAATGAACTCTGGCACATTGCTTTCCAGCCAGCGCTGCGTACTCTTAGCCTTGTGAGCGGGGGCGGAATCCTGCTGGTAGACCCAGTGTTGGTTGGCAAACAATGTACCACTTAAAGGCTTGACGATAGGATCCAGTATGTCGCTCTGATAGTTTGCCGCTTTTGTTTTCACGCCCTGTTTACAGAAATGGAGCTGAGTGACCCCTTCGTACGACACCCCCCACCAAACCATGACTGACGCAGGGTGGTGGCCTCTCTCAACTCTCGGAATGATCTCCGAAGCTTCCTGTGAACTCCTTGCATACACTTTGTCATTTTGTCGGTTGAATTTTTCTTCTATGGTGAAGATTTTCTCATCCGTGAACAAAATCTTTCGGAATCCCCCAGCTGCGTACCTCTCCAAGAGCTTCTTGGATCTTGTCGCCCTGATGTGTCGCAAGGTGGCCGTAAGTCGCTGGCCCGTACGTCTCCGCTAAGCTTCTAGCCCTAGGTCTTGTTTAATAATGCGCGACATCGTCCGGACAGGAATCTTCATTTCCCTGGATAGGATCTTCTGCTTCCGGAGTGGATTCCTTTGAATCCTGGCTTTTATGGCTTTGATGGCTGCTGGAGTCCTTACTTGACGAGGTCTTCCGCTTCTTGGCCTGTCATCAACAGAGGACGTCTCATTGTACCGCTGAATGGTCCTAGACACAAATTTACGCGATATTTGAAGGCCGCGTAAGAGTTCAAAAATCTGACTAGCACTGTGATTACACTTATGTAAAGCTATCACTGCAATACGGTTCTCTGCCTTGCCCCACTCCATCGTTATGCTTCGAGAGATCAATACAAACTGAGGTATATGTAATTACCCGAAAAGCGCTTAATCAACTGACACCACAATGTAAACAATCGGACAAGTATTAACAGGTCTACACTTGTTTGAAAACGAGGGACAGAACTTATGGCATGACTACGTACAATCACTTCATATGCTAATCAGCCAGTTACCTATACGATTTTTTAATAAATTCCACAAGAGTAAACTAATCGTTTTTTATAAATGTAACAGCTTACCGGTAATTCTCATACTGTTCTCCTTATTTTCCTTATCATTCGCCTGCTTGTTAAGTTTTGACAAAATAGGGGACGGGGTTATCAAAAAATCTCTCAAACAGTAAATGGAAGTGGATGCTATGTTTGGAAATTTCTGAGCTAACTTTCCTAATCCTTCGAGACACACCATAAGTAAAGGCATATGAGCCATTATCAAACGATACCCATGATTTGAGTTAATTTTTTCTGTTAGACGTCCACACAAACTATCGGCACCTAAAATATTTACCGGTCAATTTTATTTTACGATTATGTATAAATCGTAAGTGATAGAACGATGAAAGATCAAGATTTTTGGCATATATGGTCACGAAAAACTGGGATTCTAAAGTTATATCTACACAAAGTGAGTTAATCACAACTAAATCGGAAACTATTTCACGCAATCCTGCGAGTTAAATATGTGTATATTAGGGCATTCGTTGAAATGGGACTGCTGACTGGCAATGCCTTGAAATGGTTCCTAATAAGCCGAAATGTTACGGTTGAGAAAATAGACAATCGCTTTGATAATAATACTGTCATTTCAACGTAAAAAGGCTTTTAAAATGCATTATTTGGAACTATTTCAAGGAAAGGAACGTTCCACCAAACATTTCAGCCATATATTCAGTGAATTATGTAAAACCACTCATTGGATGTCAAACACACAAAAACAGTTTTTCATTCACCTATTATGATTATCAAAAAATGAACCAATGTCGAAAAGTTATACTGTGAATCAACTGTAAGAGAAAAGAGATTAATAATAATTAATTCACTTCACAGAGCAATATTTTTTCTTATAACTTCATGAATACAGTTTGACAATTATGCAGTTCTTCCACCTGAGTTGAATTCAAAAATCAAAAAACTCTCTATAACTGTATTCAAGAATTTCCATTAAAATATAAGGTCTGTCAAAACCACTATAATAGTAAAACGTGCTTTTCTGGTGATCCGCATACAGGGTGGCCCAACGAAAAGGTCGCACCCCTGTTTATGACTTTTCTGGTATATTTTGGGACGCCCCCGTAGAAATCAAAATTGAAGCTTATCCCAAAATATACCAGGAGAGTCACAAATAGGGGTGCGACATATTCGTTGGGCCATCCTGTATATGCTTTTTCACTTACCAGTTTCATCACCAATAGCCCATACCAAAAGTTCAACACAAGCGGCATTTGCCATAACATTAACTTTGAATTTGTTGACCAAAGCATAGTTGCTTTCCCTGTCTTCTTTCTCGCTAGCGTCATGGTTTCGGCTTTGAAGTTCAGTTTGACCATTTAAATACAAACCTGTAATGTGCAATCAATAAATCAATTCGCGAAAACGTGTTACGTGGTCTCGAGCTTGGTCCGAAAACGTTACCTTTAACAAATTCTTGCACATCTTTCGTAAAAGGTACTGGAAGATCTCTTTGAGGCCTTAGCAATTCTCTCATCATTGTAACCATCACTAAATTTATTACTTCTGAGAAAGTTTTGTATGGAAACACAGTTATTTTTCCGCTAGAGAACACCTCAAGGCCGTGTTCATCTAATGAATGTAACATGTCTTTTGTCAATAGCTTCTTACTAATTGTCAATATTGTGTGCAGATGTTTTTGTGGAAACATACCCTGAAATCATATTCACATATTTTTATCCATTCGAGTCATTTTAAGGCAACATTGTATTTAATTTTACCTGAATTTTGGGGTCACTGGAGTCACACACTCTCAAATCTGCAAACTGATTGAAACTTGAACCAAACTTCGTGAAGAAATATGTTTTTGGGTCAAAATTTTGCGGGTTTTTATAACAGGCTCGTTTTTGAGCCCTGTTATATGCCAAATCGGTCGTGTCATATCCATTATTGATATTCTGGAAAGAAAAAAGGCGTCAAGTTAACTCTGCACTTGCCATGCAGTGCTGTCGTCAGTTCATAAAGGATTACGTTCAACACAAGTTAGTCCCACTGAGAAAAAAGTTAGCTACAGACACGAATAAAAAAATAGATCAAGTCAGCCAAACAGAAATATATTTTAGAAAAATACAGTGGACCCCCGATAATCCGGCCCCTGTCTAATCCGGCGTCCCCTGTAATCCGACATGTCTTTGAATATGTATTACATACATACATATTTGTCAATCTTCGCTAATGTAGATCACGCAGGTTTGAACAGGTTACAACTTGTACGCGCTATCGTGCTCGACGCGTAAGCATTGTTTAACTTAGTTTGAATTTGACTACTGGTGATATTATTCATTCATTGTGTATTAAGTATAGTAGACAATTAAAGAAAAATGTGATATTTTAGACCGCTTAAATCGCAATGAAACTTTCAGTAGTTTAGCAAGTGAATATGGCGTAGGCCGATCTACAATTTATGACATTAAAAAAAACCACGAGAAGATCACGAAGTTCGTGTAAACTAATGATTGCGGGCCAGGCAAGAGACAGATACTCAAGAAAGCTGAACATCCAGAAGTGGAAGAAGCTTTGTACATATGGTTTCTTCAGGAAATAAATAGGCATGTACCAATTTCAGGACCTATGTTGGCCATGAAAGCTAAGTTTTTTATAAGGAAATAACAAAAAAAGATGATTTTGTAGCCAGCAAACGATAGCTAGAACGTTTTAAAAGTCGCCATTGCATACGTTTAATGACTATTACAGGAGAGAAACTTTCTAACGATGCCACCTGCATAGAGCCCTTTAAATTAAGATTTTTGCACAAGGTGAACGATTTAAATCTTGACCCGTCACAGGTGTACAATGCAGACGAATCAGGGCTTTTTTTCTTGTAACGAAAAATCCGTACCTGGTAAGTAAAGAGCGTGTAACCATGCTACCATGTGCTAACGCTGCGGGCACACACGCGCTTAAGATGATGGTCATTGGGAAATCTAATAAACCACAGGCATTCAAAAACATTGATTTACATGTAGATCATTACGGACAAAAAAGTGCATGAATGACAAAAGACCTTTTCAAAAAGTGGTTTGATGAATGCTTCGTATCTGAAGTTAGAAAATGGTTAAAAGATCATCATTTTACTCAAAAAGCGTTGTTGCTTCTTGATAACGCTCCCGGTCATCCGTCTGAAGAAGAACTAACAACTGAGGATAAATGCATCACTGCGATGTTTCTTCCGCTAAATTGCACTGCACTGATTCCACCAATGGACCAGAATATCATTCAGTTTGTCAATCAAGACTATAAGAAAAACCTACTTCTGAGAGCCGTATCAAAAGACCAACCAATAGAAAAAACTTTAAAAGAATTTACTTAATATGAAAGACTTGGTTTTTGCTCTTTGTCACTCGTGGAATGCGTTACCGTCATCAACTATTAAATCGTCTTCGAAAAAGTTATGGCCAGATATAGTCACCACTCCTAGCAACGTTCCACAAATCAGTGTAACTTTGGAAGTTATAGAACAAGTCGCTACTGAAACACAGATAAGTCCGGAAGATTTGGAAATCTGGTGCCGTGGAATGGATAAAGAGGAAAATGTTTTTCATGAAATGTCTGACGAAGAGATTATAAAAGAGGTTTCTAATTATACAACAAATAATCAGGAAAATAACGACGACTTGATTGCAAGTCACAGCACAAGACGCAATTAACGCCTTTGAGCTAGGTTTACAATGGGCTGAAGAGAATGGTACATCCGACATAGAACTTTTATTATTGAGAAGACTGAGGGACAAAGCTCTGATCTCGCGTTATAACAACCTTAAACAAAAAAAAAATTGATGAATATTTCCAAGCTTCATAATTTGATAAATTCATTAATGATTTTGATTAGTAATTATTTTGGTACATATGTGCATTTATGCTTAATTTTATAATAAAACGTAAGCTCTCTATTGTTATTTAATTTACTAAATTCGACATACATAAACTATGTATGATTTGTACTTCAAAGTACATACATATACATAACATATATAATCTTACCATTGGATATGTAATTTGTCGGATTACAAGGTACTCTTTTGTAAAAAAATCCGGACTATAGGGGGTCCTAGGCAGTGCTCTATAATCCGACAAATTCGATAGTCCGACACTGCCCTGAATAATGTTTGTCAGATTACTGGAGGTCCACTGTATTTTATGTTTGAACTTTTTCACAATTACAATACTTCCTCACCAGTGGTGTGGATAGTAAAAATGGTTTCTGGCGAGGTTGACTCGAGAATTCCGAATCTGGCTTTTCCTGTAAGTGATCTTACTTCTCTTGAGTCTGCATGCTTTACAATATACAATTTTCTTACCTCATCATGCAAAGAATGTAAATTTTCAGACAAACTCCTAGGAATGATATTTCTGAAGCTACTAAAGCTTCTCTTATATGCATTTTTATCCTCAGTAGCAGCTTGGCTCAGTGGCGGTTGTGGCTTAGGAAATATCCTGCATATCAAAGGAGGCTCACTGCCACAATATCGCCCCATGGCTCTAGCTAGACCAATCAGTACAGGCAAGGTGGTTTTGCAAAGGAATAGCTTTGTCACACTGTTTATGCTACTTGTATCTTGGAATTTAATCACTTGATTTGTCAGGGAAACAATGCTTTCTACTTGGGTGTCTATTATTTCCTTGCGCGATTTTTGGCTTCGAACTGCCACATCAGATAGGATAGTGTGGAGGCAGAAGCTGAACTTTTCAGCTGTAGGTATACCTAAGAAGAGAGATGCCTTTTATTCAGTGTCCCAGAATATGAGAATAATTATTGTTTCACTAATGTCTTTATCAACAAAGATGATGGAAATTGTTGTTTTTGAATAGCTAATGCTACTTCATGCCTAAAGATACAGCAGCAGCATATCTAATACATGGCTGTGGAACTTCGTAAAAATAAAAATTATATACAATTTTCAGGCGAGTTCCTATGACCTTGACAGCTTGGCGCACACTGCAAAATGATGCCATGCACAATCATGTGACCTGGGTGATGTATTGTAGGTTTTCTCAGCAGCCAAAGTGAAAGGGAACTGCTGCAATGTTTTACATAGTGAGACAGTTGTGCAAAATCCTTATATCTTCAGGAGTCGCATTGCCTGTATTAGATATACTGCGATGAAGCAACTATATATTCTACTTTAATCACAGAAACAGATTTGTGAATCTTACGGTCTGTAACATTAAGCCTCCACTCATCCTGCCACTGTGCTTTTTCAAGTTGTTTTGCCAATCGCAATAAATACGGTAGGATCTTTTCTTCATGCTGCAGTCCAGATTCCAAGAAATAGATCCCCAAAGCAATGACTGCGTCCTGTTGCCTTGCATTTATTGCCAAGGTTCCATTTTGGACTTCCAACGGGCAAAGTGTAAACAGAGTTTGTACCTAATAATTAAGTTTTGTTGTATGTTTGCTAGAGAATATTAAATCACTGACCAAAGGTAAAAATAGATAATTATACCTTTTCCCAAGGTGTATTCTTGATGTTTGCCAGTGATCTAGCTAAATGCTGCACTGTCTTATGAAAAAACAGCTTGTCGTCGCGAGTCATCATTTATTCCTAGTTCATATCATCTATTCACAATAATTGATGATTTATTTACATTTGAATTTGAATGTATTTTTGAATGTTCTCAGCTTCCGACCACTAAAACCACTGACACTGACAGATCGATTTTGACGTTGGGCAACAAGAGCGTATGTGCTGATACCTGCTGGCGACACTGTAGCTCATGCAACACATCTCGTAAGCAACACATACTACTATTTTTCATAACCCATTGAAGAAAACTGTAACTTATTGAATAACAGTTAAGATACCTAGTCAGAGATGGCACGGCTGGGCATGATGAAATCAGCTAGAAAAAGAGCCGTGGTTAGTGAAGACGCATGACAGCAGGGTTGCCAACACTTCGGTAATCAAATCTACTAAATCACACTGCCAGATCTACCAGAAATCTAATAGATGAAAATTATGAATTTCATAAATCTACCAGAAAATCTACTAGTTATAGCTAACCCTCATTTTGCAGTTAATTACGTTTTAGGTTTTAAAGGCGTGTGCGCATATTATGTATTTTTAGTTTTTACTCTAATTTAGATTTTTGGACATATATTATTTCAAATTAGTAATACTATATTGTGAAAATATATTTTGTAAATATTAAAGATAAAGGTAAATCTATAAATAAGAGCAGAACATTTAGTAATATTGCAAAAATATATTTTATCTAGAAACGAAACAAAAATAGACGCATTAATTTTAGTCCTTGCACGAATAATAAAAAATACACTTTCTAAAAATAAAAATAATTCACTATTAATACAGTCAAATCTTGCGTTTTCCTTATGCTTTTTGGATTCACCATGGCTCTTAAGGTCGGCGTAATGACTCGTAATTATTTTACTACAAAATTTGCATTTAGCTTCCCTTCCTAAAGTACTGTCAATAACCAACAGCCATTCTTTTAAACTAGGGTCCTTTAACCATGCGTCTCGAAACTTTTGAGTATATTGCGGTTTAGGCATGGTTCTGTAATCTGTAAAACATAATAATTCAAAGTATTCTACATCATATATGTATCAGTACTTATCATGCTCACTTACCAAAATCAAATAATTAGGCAGGCAGTCTTAAAACAGCAGAATAGTATGCTATAGCTACTAGAAAGCACACAAATTATACTGTAAATAATGTTCATCATCGTATACGAGATAAACTTCAATTGTCTGTGCAAGAAAAAACAATGTCTGTGATTCCCGTGGATGATGCTCAGAACGTGACGTGATCAAATCACGTGACAAAAAGATGGCGGCTGAATTTCTCGCGCCATCTACCGAAGGAATTGGCAAACATCATGCAGTTAGTGATGTGGAACCCCAATAGATGTCCCAAAACGAGGCGCAAAATCGTTCATCTGACTTTCATACCCCTGATTTCCGACAAAGGAGAACTAAGAGAAGAAGTACGCATACGCAAATTAATTCATTGGTTCTGCCATCTATCGATTCGATGTTCAACTAAACCAAAATAAGATATTTCCCAATGACAGTTTGCTACTTTCTTGAATTATTACTTCAATTGACAAATTGACATGAGTAACTAAGGTTCATAATGATATAAATCGAAAGTGGCTTACTAATTATTCTGATTCTTTCATTCTACTGGATTTTCTACTAGCCACTAAAACGTAAATTTGCCCACTAAATGAAGACTGCAATCTACCAGATCTAGTAGAAAATCTACTAAGTTGGCAACCCTGCATGACAGCTTTACCGCTTACAAGGTGGATTTAAATAGGTGTCTGCACTTATGATTCTAGGTGCCAGCGCCATCTCTTACAGGATAAGTAAACCTTCAATCGTGTATGCGGTGGTGTAGGGCTCACATGCTGTCCTAGCACCTATTCCAGCTTATATTTTTCATTCAGAGATGGCGCAGCTACGCATTTTTGAGAAGAGTCAAGTAGATTCACTCGGTATTCGCCCTGAATGTATAAACAAATCGATTATGGAATTGTACAGTGTGCAATGCACACATACACAAGTTCTGGATCACTCAAAGGGTTTTTGAAACTGCACTAAAGGTTGCCATCGTCCCCAACGACTACACGTATCGCCTCTGTAAATCTTTTTTCCGAGTTTCTAGGGAAATTGATGATGTGTGAAATACGTAAAATTAACGGGGTTGAAACCGTATAAATATAACGCATCTCTAGTTTTAACCACTACAATAAACAAATTTTGAGCGATTTCTTCTTATTCGTCCTTGGAATAGTGTGTGAAAATTTCAGAAATGAATGACATGATTTTTCGTGATGTACATGTTAGGTACATAACATTCAAAAATACAATACTTTCTCGCCAGTATGCATGGGAATGAAAAAAAACGGGAGGAATGTTTATTTTCTCGCACAACATTTTAACCAAACTAAAAGAAATCTGCAGCGGATTGAGTAGCACCGAATTCATTATAGTTTCTAACGTGAGCTTAAACAAATAACAAGCGGACTTTGAGGTACAGATAAATAATAATGTGTTGACGCATTTTAGACTTACAGATAAGCAACTGACAATTTTAATGCCTAGTTTGCTGATATGCATTCACTTAAAGGTATTCTATTATCGCAATAATTAGGGATATTTGTTTCCGTGCCTATTTGCTAGAAGCTTGTCGAACAAATTAGAATCGAACATATTGGTAACATTCAACGTTTTACAAAGAACAACTGAATCATACAACAGACAACACGGCCGAGCTTATATATATATATTTCCTCCTCCTCACTATATCTATCTCATCTTTCTTTTATTTTACTTCTTCCGTCACTGGGCGGTATTTTTTGATGTTATATGACATGTAGATACATCACGGAAAACCATGTCACACATTTGAGTCAGTCTGCTAATCCTTGGCCCGTCGATAACTTGAGAAGTACAGGTTACTACGAGGGATGTCTTTTAAGTTTTGCATATGGAAATAAAACAACACGGTAGGTAGTTTTAAATGACTTTATTGTTTTTCGAAGTATTCTCCACGAAGATTAATACACATCTGCATGCGCTCGAACCAATTTTCGAAGCACTTATTCCACTCGTTTGCTGGCAGATCCAAAACGGCATTTTTGAATGCGTCAACTACTTCTTCTGGTGACTGGAACCTTTGACCACGCAGTCTGTTTTTAATTTTCGGGAAAGAATGGAGGATGGTCCAATAATTCAACGTTTTCTTCCGTTAAATACAGCCTTGTTTTTTGGGCTGTGTGCGAGCTTGCATTGTCTTGGTGGAGGATGATTCTTCTTTCGGGGTTGATTTTTCGAAGCTCGGTGATGCTTTTTGGTAGGTAAACAAATGGTAGTATACCAATCCGCAGTAACAGTTCTTTGCTCATTAAGAGGAATTGTTACAATATGACCCGCTTTTGACACAAATGTCGCAACCATCTTTTTCGAAACACTTCGAGAACGGATGAATTTTGTTGGCTTTTCTTCACCTTGGAACACCCAAAAACAGCAGGCTGCCGTTTATTTTCTGGTTCATAACAGTAAATCCACGATTCATCACCAATAACAATGCTGTACACATTTTTTGAGTTTCCGGTCAAGCATTTTTTGACACCAATTAACTCTGGCTGCTTTCTGCTCTTCAGTCAACAGGTAGGGTATCCAATGAGAAACTAATTTTCTTACTCCTAATTCTTCATGTAAATTTTTTTGAATTGAGGTCTTTGAGATCTTCAAGGACGCCTCAATCTCGCGATATGACACATGTCTATCTTCAATGATGAGTTTGCGCACAGCATCGACGTTTTCCTGGGTGTCTGCCGTTTTTGGTGCACGCACCCTTCGTTGCCGAAAACAGACAGTAACTCAGAAAGGCATGCTTGTTGCGATAATTGTCTCTGAAAGTTGTAATAAATTATGGCGCGAAAATGTTCTCGCTTAAATTCTATTTTTCTAATGACTTGGTGACACTTAAAAATTCACTGTAGTGAGAACACTGCACGTATTGTTATGAAAATTTGAATTTAAGTTTACTAAAGAGTGAGGTTAAGATTCAGTACTGACGTTCGATCCGCGCGGCCTACTATGTTTCTATATGCAAAACTTAAAAGACATCCCTCGTATATACTATGCCAAGCAAGAAAAAGCGTTATAGTTTTTGAAAATCGGTACAGTGGAGGAGGAGAGAAAGGACAAAAACGAAAAAAAATCGATGTTTCAGAATATGGCAGCGCAAAAAAAACGGACCTTGCATGAAATGAACGATAACTTGCTGCACTGATGCCGCGCAGATGTGGAAAGGCATAGCGTTGCCAGATTGACAGTAGCTATCGATAAGGCAGGGAAAGAATCTCTATGTAGTAATTGTATGGATCTGGTAAATGACTTGATCCATTTAATTTGTAACGGACTTTCTATCAGAGGATTTAAATTGCTCTAAACTTAAGCCTTTATGAACTGATGACGGCGTCGCTTAGGAATTGCGGAGTCAACCTACTTGACGCCATTACGGACTCGCCCTATTCCCAAACTTCCATGTAAGTTTGTTTTTATTTTATTCTATAATTCAGCATTGATTATTTACGAAAGATTGCTATTATGTGGATTCATCCCGCAATTTTATCTTTTTGAGGTCACTTCACAACTCGACACGAAAAAGTGGTGAGTCAAAGGAAGCGCACCATGACTTTGATACCTAGACAACCAGACCTGAGCGACCTACGATACTTTAATTATACTAAGTGACATATAAATCCGAACACCCAGTTTAAATGGTTTTATTTTAATAAAATTTTGTATAAGTACTTAATGAAGCATAATAAGTAAATGATAAAAATTTCAAAATGATTGCACTGCTTTAAAGCCCTTTGACCTTTAATAATGTGTGGATGCACCCTGATGTGCTACGCATTCTAAAACGCGCCTAGGCATGCTTCTGATCAGGTGGTCAATGTCCTCCTGTGGTATCTCATTCCAGGCAACCACCAACTCCTCTCGAAGTGTTTCTAGAGTCTGAGGAGGACGTTGCAAATTGAGCAATCTCCTACTCATCATATCCCACACGTGCTCAATTGGGGATAAGTCGGGAGATCTTGGTGGCCATGGTAACAATGTGACATCATTATGTTGAAAGAAGTCCATTGTGACTCTTGCAACATGTGGTCGGGCATTATCTTGTTGGAAAGTTGGATCTGCCAGGGTGTCAAGATAGGGTAAAAGATGGGGTTCTAGAACTACGTGGATATAACGCTGCGCGTTCATGTTACCTTTGATGAAGATTAAAGGTGACCTGGAACCATAAGCTATAGCACCCCAAACCATAACTCCAACAGTGTGATGAACATGTCTTTCAACAAAAAACTGTGGATTCCTCCTTTCACCACGTCGCCTTCTAACCCTGGCACGACCATCGTGCATGCCTAAACAAAATCGAGACTCGTCACTAAAGACAATACTGTTCCATTCCTGATCCCAGAGTGACCGTTGTCTGCACCACTCAAGGCGATTATGTCGGTGTTCTCGAGTTAAAGGGAGGACCCAGTGTGGCCGGTATGAAAACAAGCCAAAACTTCTCATTCGTCGGTAAACACTTCGCATGCCAATAGGTCTTCTGTTGTTCTACGGCGGCGTCCAGTGCCCCTTGCTCTTTGCGTACGGCCTTCTCGAAGCCATGCCTGACAACACCTAACCACAGTGTCTACACTTCTTTGCACTCTAACTGCAATTGCCCGAAAAGAAAGTCCAGCTTCCCGAAGTCCCACTATAGGGCCCCTATCAAACTCACTAAGTTTACGAAATCGTACTGGTCTACGTACTCTAGGCATCGTAACCGATCGTAAAGGATGTCAAGAACCAAAATCCGCCAACGTTGATTCTTTACTGCGGCTGAAATATTCATTTTTAGAGCGTTAGTGAATTAAAAAAAAGCAGTATAAAAACCGGAATGTCCAACTGATAAGGTTGAAAATTTTTTCACTTGTTATTTACAGTAAGATAAATACATTCACCAACTTTTATTAAAATAAAACCATTTAAACTGGGTGTTCGGATTTATATGTCACTTAGTATAATATCCTCCTGGTACTGTGAACAAAACTAAATCGTGCAGTTCTGGTACCAGCCAACGTTACAATTTTTTCACGAACATAAATTAACAACGCCCCCAACGCATCCTCTTTGCTCCTTGCCCTACAAATTTGCTTAATTTCACATTGTAATCAAAGTCTACATTGTGTAATAGGTGATTCCATTCCATAATTTTATTTGGATTGTCTATATGCAAATGAACTTACTACTAATACTACGGCTACTACTGAATGGGACGAAATCATTGTATTAATGACCAAAGGCGTAACTTATTTTTTTTTCCTCAAGTTATTGGATTGATCATAAAATCCGCCTGGAATGATAAAAATTCTACAGAAACAAATTTAATAATTGAATCTTTATGGGTTCAAAACACACGGATACAAATGATTTACATGAGAACGTCGGTTACATGGACGGTTTTAAAAAAATCATAAAATAATTAATTTTTACTCGAAAACAAATTTATTGATGGAATCAGGTTCACAAGGAAATAGCATTTGAGACAGTCAAGTGTGGAAAATCACATCAGGCATGTGGTGGCCGAAATCGTTGATGCAGTGCTGGAGGCGTTCTTGGAAGTTCCAACATCGCCCACTCAACTTGGGCGACTTCCACGCGAATTTCGCCCTTCAATTCGTCCAGAGTTTGGGGCTTGTTCGCGTATACTCTAGCCTTGAGGTGTCCCCATAAGAAAAAATCGCATCTGGATAAATCTGGGGACCGAGGAGGCCAATGAACATCGCCAAACCTGGAAATAAGGCGACCAGGGAAGAGAGGGCGAATAACGTCCATGGATGCTCGAGTTGTGTGGGCGGTCGCCTGTGTTGCTAAGGAAACTTTTAAAGTAATCAAATAGCTGTGAATTTTATTTTGTGATTTAATTTAAAAATTGCGAACGTAGTGGTTATTTAGAAGTTATTTTTAATACTATAAAGTAAAAAATGTCTGATTCCGAGTTTTCTGTGATTTCAGCAGAATTAGTAGAAGTAGCCAGAGTAGCGTGACAAAAATTATTGCCAGCTAAATCGCGGAAAATTTACGAAACCGCGTATTCAAGATTCATGAAATGGAAGAGGGAAAAACATGCAGTTCTTTGTCGGAGACGGTGTTATTGACTTATTGTTCGGAATTGGCAGAACAACAAAAGTCATCAGCAATGTGGTCGAATTATTCAATGATTAAGAGTTGTTACGATCCAATAAATGTAGACATTTCAAAATATTTCAAACTAATTACATTTCTGAAACAAAATGGGAAAGGTTACAAGCCCAAGAAAGCTGCGAGTACACAAATTAGAGATTTTTTAAATAATGCTCCCGATGACGTTCGTTTAATGACCAAGGTTGTTCTTGTATTTGGGATTGCAGGAGCTTGTCGAATTTGTGAAATCAGCCAGGTAACATTAGATGATATTGAAGATTCTGGAACGTTATTAATTGGGAAACTTAGAGAAACAAAGAATGATGTAATTAAATATCTACCTTTGCTTATGTGTTTATACGACATCCGGGAAAAAAATACTATTTTTTTTCTCGGGGTAAAAAGTAATTACATAAAAAGTGACATTTTGTTACCTGTCAACAAAGATAAAATGTCAAACTTTTTTCCCTACTATTCGACATTTGTTTGTCTGGGCGGTCCGTAGAACTTTTGCCCATTAGTCACTGTCTAATGTACGTTAGTCGAATCCGTCCCCTTACCCCAGCAGCTGTGAAGTCTATCTCTAGGCTGACGACACTGCACTGCTACAGTATATTCAGATAAGAGATAGACCGGACATAAACAAGACCACGTGATCATCAAACGCTGTAACATTCGGCAGGGACGTATTAAGACTCACGCAGTACATATTTTAGATAGTAGATGCTGCTTTGCGTAACTTTGTAGTAAATTAGCACAATTCGATGTGTATACGATTGGTGATGGATATAGGATCATGTGAGGGTGGGGTAAGAAATATATAATGATGTAAATATACATAAGGGTTTCAAAATTTTCGCTTCGATTTCCAGCTTCGGATGCCGCCTGATGTTTGGTGAAATACAGTCGAATATAATCTCAAAATGGCGTTTAAATTAGCATAAATTAAAAATAATCGTATATCTCTTAAAATTGCTTTTAGAATATTGATTAGTATATTTTTTGATTTCTAGGTAAATATGTAACCAAATTAAAACGTTCTAAATGTAAAAAAATGTGCATGGTTGAACATTGTCAGAAAGTAGATTCTTGAATAGGTTTTGCCAAAATGGGTTCAAAAATGTCAATAATTAATTAAAAAATACAGTAGCTTTATAATTACTCATAACTCACCGAATTTGATGAACGACATCTTTTATTGGAAAGATGAGCTTGATGAGCTTTCATCATCGCTACTGCCTGAAGCACCAACGTCAATAATGAATGGCTCGACTTGTTCCTCTAAAATATTGTCCAGTTCCCACATTCTCTTTTCAACTTTATCTTTTACGTGCTTAATACAGTTTTCCCATTTTTGCGCTGTTATTAATTATTCTAGTGCTTCTTTGAAAAGTCCTTTGAGGTCACAAAATTGAAAAGTTGTATTGTGCTTAGCTATACAGGGTTATCCAAATTAAGTGTCCACCATTGGTAACTTTGTTATTAGTAAAAATACAAAGTTGTTTAAATTAGCAAACTAGTAGCATTTTTAACGCTGGTAAAAATGAGAAATAAAAAAAAACAATTGAGAGTCGTTATTTTGATTTTTTTCAGTAAAATAACATTTTTTTAAATGGAAACCCCTGTATATTATATTTTTTTCTGTTAAAGCATCAAATTTTAAACAAAAAAGATCATAATGACTTTTCCGCTAAAGTCAAAAATAAAGTCAAAATAACGATAAATATTTTTAATTATTTGCAGTATTATAATATTAAGACGGCTATGAAAACAACATGGCGTTCGCGATTTGACAGCATTAAGATAAGCGACAAATTGTTAAACTGGACATACTCGCAACTAGAAGGCTTTGGAAAACAATGATAAAATCAAATAATGTCAAACATTAGTGTAAATACTTGTTTATAAGCTTTATTGTGTCATTAATTTAAAGAAAAATGTTCTCCCATGAAGAAAAGTGTGATATGTTAGAATGCTATTTAGTGTGCAGAAAATCCTCCTTGAGAGCAAAAGAATACTACAGTGAATTATATCCCGCTCGCATTCCACCGTATGAACGATATTTTCTGAGACTTTATCGAAAATTTAGGGGCAACGAAAATGTTATTGCTAAAACAAGGGCAAAAAAAGAATTCATAATAAGCGAGGCCACGGAAATTGCAGTTATTGGATATTTTGAAGCTTATCGTGAGAATTCAATAGCAGATATTCTCAAGGACTCTAATTTCAGTTATGGTACTGTTCAAAGGATTTTAAAAAAATACAAATTTATTCCGTATAAGTACCGACCAGTTCAAACGCTTTTGGCAGGGGATCCAGAGAGAAGACTTGTTTTTTGCCATTGGTATCTTAGCTTCTGTCGCCAAAATGTAAATAACTTTCGTTACCTTTTATGGACAGATGAATCAAATTTTTCAAATTCTGGAATGTTTAATAGAAAAAAACACCATTATTGGTCAAGAGAAAATCTTTTGTTAGTACATCCAAGAGGCCCACAAGTCCGTTTCAGTTTCAACGTTTGGTGCGGTATAATTGGTTCAAAAATTGTTGGCCCGTTCTTTTATGAGGGAACCCTAACTGGTGAAAGATATGTGGAATTTATGTCAGAAATTCTGACTAATTTCTTAGACGAATTGGATCTTATAAGTAGACATCATCTGCATTTTCAGCAAGATGGCGCACCTGCCCACAACTCCAGAGGTACTTATCATTTTCTAAGTACTACTTTTAATGATCAGTGGATAGGAACAAATGGCCCAATACAGTGGCCTCCCAGATCACCAGATCTAAACCCACTTGATTACTTCTTGTGGGGTTACTTAGGGCCGGTATTATAAAAGCTGCTCTTGACGAAGGTTGTTCAACCACCGGTTGAAATTCAACCGCCGGCTGAGAGCTGGTCGGTATTATAAAGCAACTTACAACCATAAGTTGGCTAACCGAGACTTGACGCTCGTTAAGGTCTGTTGGCTACACTGACATTTTGATTTGACCCAATGAAATGCGAGTTATTTGGCGGAAGAAACAAACGTCATTTGCCAGGAATGTCAATTCTCTATTTTCCTCCGCTATTTATCGTTTTATTTGTGAATTAAAGTTATTTAGGGCCGGTTTATCAAAGCACAGTTAAAAGTGCCTGTTAAGTAACCTCAAGTTAGGCTAAACTGGCAGTTATGTTATGAAGCGTGTTTATCAATCAATCAATAGCTGTCAGTTTTATAACTTTTGGTTTGCCTTCGTTTCTACAAGGTTGGTAGAACTGAACTGAGCGGAAATGAATTTTTATTCGTTGAATTTAAATTTCCCACAAAAAATGTCAGACAATGACAAATGACGCAAATGTCAAAAATTTAACCTATTCGATATATTTGTGTGAAAGTGTATCATTATCACGCAATGACGTCTTTGCTATCACGTATCTTGAAGTTTTCTTTATTCGTGTGGCATTGTTTTACGAAATTAGTACGGATTGTTTGGAAAAATGGAAAGCGAAGAAAACAGTGGAAAGGGAAAACAAAAAAGAGGAGCGAACTTCAGCCTCAGCGACCGCAAAAACTTGTTGAAACTGTCCAACAAATTTAAGGCAGTGATAGAAAATAAAAAAACGGATGGAGTTACTTGGAGACAGAAGGAAGAAGCGTGGATAAAAATTGAAAGAGAATTCAACTCATTTACAACAGGAGTGGTGAGTATATACATATACTTTTCAATTGCTATAGTATGTGATAAATTAATTGATTTCCAATATACAGTTTTGGCAACATTTCCCAACTCTGTTAAATAAGATATAAACTGTAGTGAAAAGAGTATGAATGCAATATTAGTTTTTGTTCCGTAATTGTTCATATATGAATAAATTTTTAGCCACGAACAGCAAAACAGCTAAAAACAAAGTATGAGGCCATTAAGAAGGAGCTGAAAAAAAAATATAGCAGCCATAAGTGCTATATGCTTGGAACAGGTGGTGGTGCTTCAAAAGAAGAACCCAAACCTGAGACTGAAGAAGAGAAGGAACTATTACAAACTATCATAGTTTCTGTTGAGGGTCTTCAGTCTCAATATGATTCAGATGCCATAGCAGGAAAGTTCTGTTTTTTTATTTTTACCTTTGGATCATGCTTAATTTGATTTTGATTACAGGTGTAAGAGGAGTTGAAATTGAGGAGATTGAAAACAGCAGTGTGATAGTAGAAACGCATGAAGATATTGAGTGGAACACACCCAGTACTTCCTACCTTCAAACACACATTCATCCAGCTTTGAAAGTATCAAGGCCGAATGTGCTACAGGTGGACGTAAGTGGAGAAGATATGGAAGTAACCGACCATAATACTGACAGTATCAGTGTAGCAGAGACTCCCAGCTCTAAAAGTATCTGTGAAATATTTCTTATAAATATAGGTATATAGATATCTCATATTTATGTTACTATACAAAAATTTTATTTTAGAGCCATGGTCATGTCGGCGAAGACCAGTAATTAAGAAAAAGAAAAGCATGTCTTCTGCTTCTTCGAAATTTGAAGAACTGGCTATGAAGAAGTTAGAGCTGGTGAATTTGCAAATGTCGATTGCAGAAGAAATAAAAAAGCAAAATGCTGCAGAGCATAAAATAAAAATGGAAAACCTGAAACTGAAGCAAGACATTTTGAAAATGGAACTGCAGATTAGAACAAATGATAAATTATAAAATATGTGTAATATATATAAATATAACACATAATTTTGAAATTAAAGATTGCTATTTTTTATTTGTATTTAATTCATAAATAGTACAAGTAAAGAATTAATTTAAAAGCCCTGGAAAATATTCACTTAATAACAGTTCCCTGGCATTCATGAAGTTATTTTCAGGAGGATCAACACTGATATCTTCTTCATAATTGATTATGTTTTCATCCAAGTTTGGAATATCAGGGGGCTGCTCTTCATTTTGGTCAATTGCTATATTATGCAGCACAGCTGTGGCAACGATCACTGTAAGGGTTGTCTGTAATTTTAGTCTCAACCCTGTTGAGAGAACTGGAAATCGTCGTTTCCACAAACCGTATTGCCTTTCCACAGGATTTCTGGTTCTTGTAACTGAAAAAATAAATGAAAAACAAACTCATTAACTTTAATTCTCCTTGTATAGAAAAAATAATGCAGTGTAGTATCTGTACAATGAAAAAATATGGTTCATGCTTTTAGTGAATTAAATTATTTTATGAGTAAAATAAAAAACAGCTCCATATAATGTAATGATTATAAGAGATAGAAACATACCAGCTTCATTATAAAGTTGTTGGACTTGTGTTCTTGCTTCCAAAAGTGGTGTTATTACATGCATTGAATTTGCATAACCACTGTCTGCTACTAAAAGGCTATTGCCAAATTCATTTCTTTCCAATCTACTTTTTATTGATGAATTATCAAAAATTATCTGGTCATGTTGACTTCCAGGCCAGCGTGCAGTAATGTCTAATATTTTTAGATTGGGGGCTGAAATGGTTTGTACATTGATGGAGAAATAGCCTTTTCGATTGCGAAATAGTTCTGCATTATTTCCTCCTGTAAGGGTAAAGTTTTATAAGTACAAGTTCTATAGATACAAATAGATACCATACCAGGTGACTGAATTTTTATGTGTGTGCAGTCAAGGGATCCAATCACTCTAGGCACATGTGCTTTCTCATAAAAGCTACTTTTGGCTTTCCTTATTTCCTCATCATTACTTGGCATTTTTATAAATCTACCTGAGAAGGTAGCTATTGCCTCAGACACCTTCTTCACTATTTTTGAGGCAGAGCTCTTACTAACTTTGATGAAATCACCAACAGTTAGTAGGAAGTTTCCCGTAGCATAGAAGCGTAGAGTCAGTAATAACTGATTGATGGGTGAAATAGAATGATTTCTGAAATAAATATACAATTAATAGTTACCACAGGGAGTCATTTGTCATAGAATTGTTCATGATAAGTTAAATAAAATTCAATGAAATCCACATATCTATTTCCATATTGTTTAAATATTACAGAAAAAATATTCGCAGAAAATAAAAAGTACCTATAGGTATTAACATCAGCAGCGTTCTAAAAACGTGAAATAACCTACCTGTCGGTAACAGATTCGAGTTCTTCCTCGATGAGAGATAAAATATATAAAACCGTAATTTTTTTCAAGCGGAACCTCACAAAAAAATCTATGTCGTCCAATGAATGGAAGAAGTCTTCTCTTTCTCGTACAATATAGGGCCTCCTTTCATATTCTAAAAACTCTACTATTTCCGCATCATCATCATCATCGAACATAGCATCAATATCACCCAACATATTTCAAAGTTTTCACTTGATTTTCAAACAATAATTCTTTACAAAAACCTTGTTTTTGCTTACGTTTTGACACAGACTTTTTGAGGTTAAAATGACAAGAATGACATATCAAAACAAGAAGAAGTCTGCAATCTGCGCATGCTTCAGATCCTAACTGCTAGTTATCGCTCGTAACTGGAACATCCAAGTTGCGGTCAGGTTTCACACGGGTTTAACTGTTGGTTAATATTTAACTGCCGGTGGATAAACATTTTGACCGTCAGATTATTTTTAACTACTAGTTGATTTATTTAACCATGCATTGATAAACCGGCCCTTAATATGTCTACGAGAAGCAAAAGAATAATATATTCAGAAGCTGATTGTCATACGCTTGTGGATATAATTATTTCTCATAAGAATATTATCGAATGTAAGAAAACAGATGCCACAACTTGGAAAGAGAAGGTGAGTGATTATTACTATAAATTCTTAGTAAAAAATCTACATGTGGGGTATATTTTAGATAACTGCATGGGCAAAATTAGCAGATATTTATAATGCCACTACTATGGAGCCAAGAACAGCTGAACAGTTACGTTGCAAATACGATAACCTAAAAAAAGAAGTGCGCAAGCTCGAGGCTCACAAAAGACAAGCGTTATATCAGACTGGTGGTGGTGTGAGCGAACCTGATATAAAAGGTTCACTTAAATTATTGTATGCTAAAATTAATAGTATAATTAGCTTCTCAGTCCAGGGTTTAGAGCCTAGTAATGGTGATAGCGATTTGGTGATGGATGTAGTAGAGAAGGGACAGCCTAGTATGTATAATAATTTAATATTCTATAATGATTTCAGCATATGCAAAATTATATTTCAGATACATTGCAGCAAGCTTTAGAAGAAGATATTCTATCTGATAACCTGCCAAAAGAGACAGTTGCTGAACAAAAAAATGGTATACATTGTCTTATGTTTAATAATATACTCCCTATATTTATATTTTAGATATTTTTAAGAATAGTGAATCTGAAGTAAAAGAAAACGAAATGCTGACAGAAACAAAGAAAGATCCTGAAATTAAGAAAGGTAGTACAAATCAATGGTCTGTACATTTTCCATTATTATATGAGTATATATATTTCAGACTGGTCAGATTACACTCCTAAAATGTTACGAAGCAAAAGACATAGAGTATTACAAGTGAAGAGAAAGGCAACTGATCACCAAAGTGAAGATGATAAACAAAATTTAAAGAGGAAATTAATGGAGGAGGAAGCCCAAAGAAATAAGGAATATCATATTGCACGTATGGAACGAGAAGCAGAAATCCATAAGTACAAAATAGAAAATATAAGATTGCAAAATGCAAAATTGCAATTGGAGATAGAGTTGCTAAAAAAACAATTATAAAGGAAATAAAAGTTTAGTTATACTGTTAAAAACTTGTATTATTTATTCATATATTTCATTTCTAATTGTCAACATAAATATCTCTATAGAGAACTATGATTTGTGCGCCATAACATATATACTTCAATGAAAAGGACATATACATATAGAACAAAAAGTATAAATAATAAAACAATAATATAATTTTTATTGTGCCTGCTCTAACAAATTTGAAAAATATAAAATAAATTCTTCTCGAAAGTTATGATTTCCATCTCCAACTGGAACATTTTCATGTATGAAGAGTATTAGGATCTACTATTGGATCTGGCTCTTTCATATCGATGGCCAGGTTATGTAATATGGCACAAGCGACAATAATGTTCTTTGCAGTGCCAAGTGAGACCCTTATTCCAAGTGATAAAATAGGAAACCTTCTTTTTAATACTCCAAATAATCGCTCAATTGGGTTCCGACTTCTAATTTGTGCCTCATTAAAAAGTTGTTCACTGTTTGTTCTGGGATTTGCAATTGGAGTAATTAAGTATTTTTTTAAACCATAACCTGAATCTCCAAGCAGAATGGCATTTCCAAATTCATTTTGTTCAAGTCGACCTTGTAATCTGCTGTTAGCAAATATTGTTTGATCGTGGCTTGAGCCTGGCCATCGTGCAACAATATCCCTAATTTTTAGCTCTGAGTCACCTACTACTTGCACATTAAGAGAAAAATAGCCTTTTCTATTTCTAAAATATTCAGCATTTTCCCCTCCTACAAAAATACGAGAGTTACTTATTATTACAAACCTAGTGCAAAAATAATCACCTGGTGAAATTATTTTTATATGAGTGCAATCAATAGCTCCTACAACTCGAGGAAATCGAGCAATTGAATAGAACTTATGTTTAGTTTCTTCTATTTCTTGTTGGGTCCTTGGCATATATATAAATTCTGGAGAAAATGTTGCAATCATTTTAACTATTTTCTTTACAATCTGACCTGCTGTGGACTTATGTATACCTGCAAAGTCACCAATTGTTTGCAACATGCATCCAGTAGCACAAAATCTCAAAGAACCAAATTTACAAGCGAAGGTACGATAACCTTGACGCGTTAAAGACTGCAGTTAGGGAAAAGATAACCCAGATAGATGGTAGGACCATACTTAAGACAGTTCGAGCAGTTGAAAAACGTGCCCAAAAATGTATTGAAGAACAAGGTGGTGTTTTCGAGCATCTTCTTTAAAAAAATTGTTATTGTATTTTGTAAGATTATAAGTTGATGTTGAAAATAAAGTTTGTCGATACAATTTAATTGTTTCAGATTGGAGGCCATAACTTCAACAATTTGTAACCTAGGAGAAAAGTTATTGTAAGCTTTTTTGTTTAAAATTTGATGCTTTAACAGAAAAAAATATAATATACAGGGGTTTCCATTTAAAAAAATGTTATTTTACTGAAAAAAATCAAAATAACGACTCTCAATTGTTTTTTTTTATTTCTCATTTTTACCAGCGTTAAAAATGCTACTAGTTTGCTAATTCAAACAACTTTGTATTTTCACTAATAACAAAGTTACTAATGGTGGACACTTAATTTGGATAACCCTGTATAATTTTTAACCTCTGCCCATATGAGCTCAATGGGATTGAGCTCGCAATGGTATGGAGGTAAACGGAGCACAGTTTTATTTTGACTTGCTGCCATTTCGTCAATGGCGTATTTTTGATATTCCGCCTTGTGATCCTTGACAATTCTTAATAATTGTACTTTCAGCATTGCTTCTTCAAAGTTCATATTTTTCGAGCGGAGCCAATTTTGAACATCAACTTTCCTTGAAGCCGTTGTTGGGACCTTCTCCATTCTTCGAGAATGATAAGGCGCATTATCCAACACAATTACTGCGTTTTCCTCTAAGTTCGGTAAAATTTTTGAAAACCACTGTTCAAACGATTCGCCATTCATTTCCTCGTGGTAATCTCCAGTTTTCTTAGACTCAAAGCACCACAGACCGTCAACAACAAATCCATCCTCACTGCCAATATGGCAGATAATGAGCCTTTTCCCTTTACCTGGAAATCGAAGTACTAACTGGTGTAGATTTATTTCAATAAGCGAACCTTTTTCAAATGTTTTCATCTCATTCAGCGAAAAAACATTGAGACATGAGTATCAGATTGCTATAATTGGGATTATTTAGTCATATTGAAAGAAAGAATATTGAACGTCGTATGATTACTCAGCGCTTCACAATTTAATTTAAAGTTATAAACCTTTAAAAAATGAATGATCAGGAACCTGAAATACGCGCAAATATTAATATTAACAAACTATAACTTTATAAAGCTTAAAGTATGAATTAAAATGATTAGAAATATTAGGAACGGTACACAATATAAAACTTAGTAACTTTTTTTAAGTTTCTAATATTTGACATATTATAAGATTATATTAAAAAACTATTGAAATATCGAAAACACATAAAAACATGGCTTAAAAAAGTTCTAACAAATGAAAATGACAATAAAACATCCACGCATTTTATCGAAAGTTATAAAAGTTTTGTTACTTGTAATATGTTTTATCTGCCCCCTGGAATTAATGTTTAGAACCTTGTTCCCAAGGTTTGAAAAACATCCGATTGTTGTCTATTACTCGTATTTACCTGCTGGATTTTTTTATCCGGTGGACAGTCCATCTAGAAAGGCCCTCCTGGATGAAGTTACAGAATCATCAACACATACTTTACTTGTAGTGTGTCCTGCGTTTACCCACGTTTCATCAAGGTAATAAATCTTCCTGTTTTGATTTCTATATTTCCCAATTTTTGTTAAATAATCCCTCCTCCATAGCACAATTTCTTCTCTATCCAGTAGTAAACTATTACGACCCCGTTTTTTCCATTTGAAATTTAAATGCTTCAGTAACGCATGGAAAGTTGATCGTTTGAAATTTGGCAACGTTGTATCTCCATTTACCTCCTGCAGTACTTTATCTATAGTAGGTATTTCATTCCTAAAGAAGAATTCATGCACTTTCCTCCTAATCGCATGCTTATCAGCTTCATCCAATGATTTAACAATACTTTTGCGATGTTTACTGGTCATTGGCTCAGAAAAGGTGTGATTTTTTTTGTATTGTCTTAACACATTAAACACTGATGCGCGACACACCCCAACTTTGTGAGAAACCTTCACAACAATTTCTTTGATGGTTGATGCCTCGTTCTCCTCGCGCTCGATCTTATATATATTCAAAATGACCTCTTTCATTTCTGCACTCAGGTGTCTTTTTTTAGAGCGTTTCCTAGGTGGACTACAGGAGTTTACAACTTCATCGGCAGTATCTGTACTACTGGGCATTTTGCGCAAGCAGTTGATAACAATAACAATCAATAACAAGGTATAACAATAACAACGACAAACTCAACAACTTAATAAGATAACAAACGAAAACGTCCAAAGAAATATCAAATTGCAATGATGCACACGACATACGTAACACCTCTGAACCTGAATGTGACTCTGCCTTGATACGACTGCTCTGCCGCTCGGCATAGGCATTTAATTGCGAATTGACCAATGAGGGCTCCTGTTTTACGTCGAGACGGCGGCGTTAGCGTGAAAATCACCCGAACCTTTTGTTTACATCCGGTCTATCTCTTATCTGAATATACTGTAGCTCAAAATTAATACTTCGAAAACGCAGGCAATCTATTGTACTAAAAAACGTCGCTGTGTCCCCTCATAAATATCAGTGAATGGAACTCGTATACCATGGAAACAATCTGTCAGGTAACTTGGAGTCATCATTGACAAGGGGTTGACCTGGCAGAAACATACAACTCTGATATTTTGGAAACAAAATCCCAAATTACCTGTCGGCAGCTTTGTCCTTTGTTGTGCAGAAATTCAAAATTAAGTTTGATCAACAAGATTCGGTTGTATAAAATCATCTACGCATGCGCGGCTTGGTGTTTTCTTGCCAAGACGCACATGCAGAGACTGCAAGTCCTGCAAAACAGAACCCTACGCACGTACGTGTCAAATGAGACCATTCACAGATATCTTGATATCCCATATCTAAGGGATTATGTAAAAGAACAGGCGCAGCGGCATTATAATCAAGCCGAATCGCACAGCAGCCCTATGTTGAGTGATTCAGTCGACTACACAGTCGAGCAATTTCCCAAACATTCCAGGTCGCGCCTCGCACTGTGATCAAAATTAAATTGTATATTCAGACCAGCCAAAATTATTTCAGTATACGAAACCGATCAAAATTATTTTTTGGAGCTACAGAATAATTCAAGTACTCAAAGCAATAATGCTTAAGCTATTTCAAATGATTTACTGCTTTTCTTTGCTCTATTTCTTCCTTCCTTTCTTTCTTTCTTTCCCTTTTCCCCTTAAACATGTTTGGTGTCTGGATAGCAAGATCTGACAGACTAACAGACCGAAGAGACATTTAACTAAGAGCAAAGGTCCACCGGACCGCTCTGACGAATAATGACGAATATTTTGTCGAATCTGTCAGTCGTGGTTGCCCAGAAACCAAGGAAAAAGAGAAAGGAAAAGAGAAGAAAAAAGGAGAAGAGCAAAGAAAAACACATGTGCTCAGTTTAAGAGGAAACACCTAGGCTTCTTGACTTAGTACACGGATTAATTTTAAGGTGAGCTAAGCAAATTTTGGATTCGGTTTTAGAGTGTAATTTTGGGTTTACTAGAAATTCACGCTAACTTTTGATTACAATGCGAAACTTTTTCTCCGTCACAGAAAAAAAACTATTCTCGTATCCGTTTAGAAAAATTCGGTTTTATTACATAATTTCACTCAACAAGGATCGCTTCAAAAAAATCTGCATGTTGCTAGGCCCAAAATTGCGTTAACAATTTCTTTAAATTTATTAAAAAAATTGTTGCCTTTCGCCCCGGATAGATTTCTGTTACGATTTTTTGTCATTCTGAACAAAATTCCTATGTTATTTACTCTAAAATTTATAGTTTTCGAGATATAGGCGAACAATATGAGAAAACGGAAATTTTGAATATCTACCTTTAGAGCCTGGCGAGACGCAGATTCGTGTTAGGGAAATAATATTCGTAACTTTAAGAGGTGATCTCTTGCATTGTTCTGAGCAAAAAAGTTCACTATAAATTGTAACCGAAAGTCAATCGTTTTCGAGGAATGTGAGTCGTAAATAATGAAATATTCGCAAACATTTGGCAACGCTGCAACGAATTGTCTACGTTTGTATGATATTTTTGTTGAAAATATGCCTTGAATTATCGCATAATTTTACGCATTTTTTGTGGCTAATGTTTTTTTATTTAATAACGCTTTCAGTATAGTACATTTACTTAAAAAAAAATGACAGAACTTACCGGTACGTGGCGATACACACCACCAATTCCCACGATTATCAGTCACTTATTTGAAACGATACGATGCAAAAAAACAATATTCGTAAATCACATAAAGTTACAGTTAAATGTATTAGTAATCACAACAACACGCGATGATACATGCAGCGCAGGCGGAGTGCGACGTTGCCAGTTGTGTGAGGGATTTTGTTTGTCTGTTTTTCTTCTGAAAATGGTATTTAATAAGTAGGAAAATTATTTTGTTAGACACAGATAATTAATAAATAGTTGTATTGATACATTTTACGCTATCAGGCATATGAATTTAAATCATTAAGGTGCAAAATCAATTTATTTCATGACTAAAGAGAAATAAGTTTTTGGGCTGAAATGGTTGATTTTTTTTGCTTAGAATAATGCTCTTAAAGTTAGAATATTATTTCCCTAACACTCTGTATACGTATAAATCGTAAAAATTGTGCTGTAAACGTAAGTGATGTCAAAGAGGGACAACGTTTGAAATACCACCCCCTAAATCCGCCACTGATTCTGTTAGTTGGTGCTGGCCACCCTTAGAGATTGAAACACAATGAAGCTAAGTAATTTCCATTGTAATAGTTTATAACAGTTTATCTAAACTAAATGGCGGATACAAAATTAGTTATTGGAATTGTATATATAAAAAGTTGCTATGACAGAAAATGGCATGCAACTCCCACACACTACGTTAGTGATAACAGAACGAAATTGTCGTTGGGTCCTTGAACAAGTATGCACGTCGTTCGCTTAACCCTGCACTACATTTTCCGATAACAATTGTTTCAGTTTCGTTGGAATATTTGACAATAGCTGATGCATCTAATTATTTTTCTGTAAATGTTAATTGGCGCGAGTTAATTGGGATTCCAGATATAAAAACTGATTCGGGAACTTTGATTGCGGAGTACCAGTGGTGAGATAGGAGTGCTCCGCGGTGGACTTATTTGTTTGTGAAGATTGGTGAGTGATAATTTGACAAAAATACAGTATTAACAAATTAGAACTGTGTCGTTAGGGGAAGGGATTTTAGCAGTTTTTAGCAGAACTACAATATATTCGCCGGGTCATGGAGTTTTTGAGAAATACCGATAGGCAACACCAGATTAGAGTTCTTCTGGATTAACAAAGATATTAACAGCATTTTTTTGGATTTGGGAAGCATAAGGAGCAAATCGCTTTCCTGGCACATACGCAATTTCTTGTTGAGCTTTTCCATGACCGTTTTGCATAAATGGGACGATCTTCGTTGATGCAGAGTTGGATTTCCTCTACCAATCCAGGGTATCTGTGAACTTTTTTCTGCCTAAATTGGATAATATTGAAGTGGATAACAAAACTTATTTGCAAATCATACATTTCCAAGTCGTATATGCTCTCGTTTAGCCGATTACACTGGACAACAAATTTTAGTTTTTTAATTGTATCTTGTGGGAAAAGTACACTTCTTTGTTAATTTTGGGGCGCTGAATCCAAAAATGACAATGAAATAAAAAAATTAGTTGCGGTTTAGAAAAAAAACTTTTTATTTTTAAGGATATATTAAAAAAAGTAACAAGATTCATATACTTATAAGAATCACTATATGCGCTGTCTTTTTGTTGTTCTTTTATGGATCGTTTCTGGAGCATCTCTACCAAGAGTCCAACAGTAGTCTGCAAGCATGGAATGATTCCACTTTCCCTGGTACCTTTTTTCCATTGTTGAAATATCCTGATGAAAACGTTCGCCGTGCTCATCACTTACGGCTCCGCAATTGTAAGGAAAAAAGTCCAGGTGTGAGTGTAGGAAATGTATCTTAAGAGACATATTACAGCCCATCTTTTGATACGATGACATCATATTTTTGACAAGGGTTTTATAGTTGTCAGCTTTTCTATTTCCCAAGAAAATAGTGACCACCAGACGGAAATCATTCCAAGCAGTTTTTTCAATACCTGTTAAAGTGTTTTCAAACTGTGTATCTCTCAAAATATTTCGATTCTGTGGCCCAACAAAAATACCTTCTTTAACCTTTGCCTCAATTAGTCTTGGAAATTTCTGACGCAGGTATTGAAAAGCTGACCCATCTCTATCTAATGCCTTGACAAAGTTTTTCATTAGGCCCAACTTGATATGCAGTGGTGGTAATAAAATTTTTTTCGAATCTACTACTGTACATTTTTTTGACCTGGCTCTAGGAATTGACGAACAGGCCAGTGTTGTCTGGTGTAATGAAGTGCCTTTGCTCGACTGTCCCATTCACACAAAAAACAGCAAAACTTTGTGTAGCCCAAGTAAAAGTGCAACAACTTTCAAATCGCCACAAATATGCCATTGGTGCTCATCGTATTTTATGCATGTCAATAGGTACTTCATATTGTCATATGATTCTTTCGTGTGAACTGCATACCCTACAGGAAGAGATGGTAAAATATTTCCAATATGCAATAACACTGCCTTTAAACTCAATGTTGAACTGTCTATAAACAATCTCCATTCTTCTGGGTTATAGTTTATATTTAAAGCCGCCAGTAAGCCGTTAATGTTACTGCAGAAAACCAAGTTATTCTCCATATTGAAAAATGGTTCTAAGTCTTTGTGGCGTTTACGAAAAACACATACCGAAACATCGTCTTCTAACAAGTTCCACTGCTGCAGTCTTGATCCAAGTAACTCTGCCTTACATTTTGGAAGTTCTAAATCTCTTACAAGATCATTTAATTCTGATTGTGTTATTTTGTGTGGTTGGTGGCATGACGTGCTCAGTATAAAATCAGGATCTCTTGACGTTGATGGCATATCTTCTTCCTGACGGATCACTCGATCGCCATGATCTGATTCGTTTTCTGATTCGCAAGTGTAAGATTCTGGGGGTTTTGGAATAGGATTTTCGTCACTGTGAGGCACAGGTCTCATCGCAGATGGTATGTTTGGGTAGTTAATAACCGATTTTTTTTTCTTGGACATACCTGTGGCTTGTCCAACACAAGGTACCATGCAAAAGTAACAATCATTAATATGATTTGTAGGCTCTCTCCAAACCATTGGGACAGCAAAGCGCATAGACCGTTTTTTTGCAATTTAACCAGCTCCTCAGACTTGAAGCACATGTATTACAGTAGATGTGGGGTGCCCACTGTTTGTCTTGATCACCTAGTTAAAAAATAAGTTTCATTCCGGTTTTAGCACATTAAAAATAGTAATATTTTGTTGATTTTATTTAGGATATTTTTTGGCTGTTGATCAGTGTTATAATTGCCCCTCGTAGATCATGCAATTTAATAACATTTGATACATTTTTATGCGCTTATTTGAAGTCAAATGTCGATACCTGTTGCATTGAAGAAAAATATTCAATGGTGCCGTCTCGGATTTCAGCCTCATCTATTCAAAGTGCTCATAAAATTTTTCAACAAAAGTGTACGTATATGTCTGCAAATGCACTTATGATTAAAAAGAAAAGTAACAATTTAAAGAAAAAATATGTTGTCTATTTAATTCAAGTTGTGAACTTAAAAATGGAGTCAAATAAATCAACTCAATGCTATCCATGCATTGATACAAATCTATTCATTACGAAGTGTTTTTAGTCCATATGAAATGTGATCATTTAAAATGTGTCAGTCATCTAAAATATACTAAGTGACATATAAATCCAAACACCCAGTTTAAATGGTTTTATGTTAATAAAAGTTGGTGAATGTATTTATCTTACTGTAAATAACAAGTGAAAAAATGTTCAGCCTTATCAGTTGGACATTCCCGTTTTTATACTGCTTTTTTTTTTAATTCACTAACGCTCTAAAAATGAATATTTCAGCTGCAGTAAAGAATCAATGTTGGCGGATTTTGGTTCTTGACATCCTTTACGATCGGTTACGATGCCTAGAGTACGGATACCTGTACGATTTCGTCAACTCAGTGATTTTGATGGGAGCCGTACAGTGGGACTTCGGGAAGCTGGACTTTCTTTTCGGGCCATTGCAGTTAGAGTGCAAAGAAGTGTAGTCACTGTGGTTAGGTGTTGTCAGGCATGGCTTCGAGAAGGCCGTACGCAAAGAGCAAGGGGCACTGGACGCCGCCGTAGAACAACAGACCGTGAAGATCGCCGCCTAAGATTATTGGCCTTAAGGGACCGTTTCTCCACTAGCAGGTCCACTGCAACTGAATGGTTTGCAGAACACGGAAGACCTATTGGCATGCGAAGTGTTTACCGACGAATGAGAAGTTTTGGCTTGTTTTCATACCGGCCACACTGGGGCCTCCCTTTAACTCGAGAACACCGACGTAATCGCCTTGAGTGGTGCAGACAACGGTCACTCTGGGATCAGGAATGGATCAGTATTGTCTTTAGTGACGAGTCTCGATTTTGTTTAGGCATGCACGATGGTTAGAAGGTTAGGTGGTGAAAGGAGGAATCCACAGTTTTTTGTTGAAAGACATGTTCATCACACTGTTGGAGTTATGGTTTGGGGTGCTATAGCTTATGGTTCCAGGTCAGCTTTAATCTTCATCAGAGGTAACATGAACGCGCAGCGTTATATCCACGAAGTTCTAGAACCCCATCTTTTACCCTATCTTGACACCCTGGCAGATCCAACTTTCCAACAAGATAATGCCCGACCACATGTTGCAAGAGTATAGACTTCTTTCAACATAATGATGTCACATTGTTACCATGGCCACCAAGATCTCCCGACTTATCCCCAATTGAGCACGTGTGGCATATGATGGGTAGGAGATTGCTCAATTTGCAACGTCCGCCTCAGACTCTAGAAGCACTTCGAGAGGAGTTGGTGGTTGCCTGGAATGAGATACCACAGGAGGACATTGACCACCTGATTAGAAGCATGCCTAGGCGCGTTGGAGAATGCGTAGCACATCAGGGTGCATCCACACATTATTAAAGGTCAAAGGGCTTTAAAGCAGTGCAATCATTTTGAAATTTTTATCATTTACTTATTATGCTTCATTAAGTACTTATACAAAATTTTGTTAAAATAAAACCATTTAAACTGGGTGTTCGGATTTATTTGTCACTTAGTATATCTCCTTTTTAGTTCGGTTATATGTAAAGTTATTGTTATAATTTTTTTGTAGGGCCTTGTAAAAGGAAATCATTTTTTCCGTAACGTCGGCAACTTTAGAACAGGGAACTGTGTTTATTTAGACTGCATATGGAATTTGATCATTTCACAATTTGTCAGTCCCCTAAAATATTGTATTAACAGAAAATTAAAAAATGGCGAAAAACAATTAAATGATCAACGCAATTGTGATTACAAATTTTTCCAATTGCATCACTCTTAATGCTACCGCGACTGGACAATTTTCAAAAGCTACAAAGCTTTTTGTGGCGTCATATTCTTCGTACCGTACACGCTGAGTCACACCTAAACAACAATTATCTCGATTTCAAAATTTTTCACAACTTGATAACTTATTTGTAGAACTTCGAATAATTGTACTACGATATGCTTTTGAAGGAACGATGCCTGTTCAAAAAGTAAATATACTAAGTGACATATAAATCCGAACACCCAGTTTAAATGGTTTTATTTTAATAAAAGTTGGTAAATGTATTTATCTTACTGTAAATAACAAGTGAAAAAAATTTCGGCCTTATCAGTTGGACATTCCGGTTTTTATACTGCTTTTTTTTAAATTCACTAACGCTCTAAAAATGAATATTTCAGCCGCAGTAAAGATACAACGTTGGCGGATATTGGTTCTTGACATCCTTTACGATCGGTTACGATGCTTGGAGTACGGAGACCTGTACGACTTCGTCAACTTAGTGAGTTTGATAGGGGCCGTATAGTGGGACTTCGGGAAGCTGGTCTTTCTTTTCGGGCAATTGCAGTTAGAGTGCAAAGAAGTGTAGACACTGTGGTTAGGTGTTGTCAGGCATGGCTTCGAGAAGGCCGTACGCAAAGAGCAAGGGGCACTGGACGCCGCCGTAGAACAACAGACCGTGAAGA